GTAAGGCCAAAGAAATGTCACTCAGCCCCAGCCAAACCATCCGACATTGAGTATCGAACACTTCACAAATCCACATCAAAGTCGAGGTCAACTAACGCGCATCAGCTAATCGCATGCCATGCACTGGCCTGTGCAGCTGTGGTCGCACTGTAGTGAACGAGGACACACGTAAGAACAAACCAATGTATCTAACTATAAAATTACAGAATTTCTTAGTAAAATCTGAGAACCATACAGTAAACACTACACTTGCAAAATGTCCATTAATTGTCGCAGACTCTATTGTTCCTTCGTTCCCATACTAATCACTCTCTCTTCTCTCTGATAATCTCAACCTTCTGCCACCAGGCATCTCACATCAGTAGTACACACCATAGCATTGTTTCTTGAACATGCTCTTGCTGACATTATTTCTGTAATAACGTCGTCTGTGTTTTACGGTCATCAAAGTAGCCCTAGTACCTGGACACGACGGAAGGGTAATCCACAATAGGTGTTAACTGTGATGTGGGACTGACGTTAGCTAGTAAGTCACACCATACTCGCCTAACTCGAGTAGGCCCTCAAACAATCTATTTAGATAATCTACATTACATAAGAATTCCGCCTCTTCATACTATTCTACATATGAATTACTTTCCATACCCTACCATAGCCAAATGACTAGCTGAAATTCTACGACCAGTCAGAAAACAACTCAATAGATATACAACTACGTATTCGTTAGATTTTTCTGATTCACTATCAAGCACCAATATGACTGGGATGAAAATGACCCCATTAGATATTGTCTCTCTTCTTACAAATGTACCTCTGACGGAAACAATCCCCCTACTGTGTAATTCAACCGAAAACAACAAACTCGATGTCGGTATTTCAACACACTATTTGGAAGAACATCTTCGATGGACTTTGAATGTCCAATTTAAATTTAACAGTGAGTTCTATAGACAAACTGACGGTGTAGTGATGGGGTTGTGATATTTCTATTGTATGTTTGTGGAATAGCAGTGATTAGTTCGATTTCTTTTTTTCCGGAACGATATTTAAGTTATCATTTTTTAATTATGACGGGTAAAGAACACAATTATGACACTATTATTGGCAATGATATATATTCTTAGATATACGATGAATAAACTTTGATATTAATGGTAGTAATTATAACAATAATAATAATGGTTAAAATGAGCCAAAAACTAATATGGGATAAATCCAAAGTTCCAGAAAGAATCATGAAAATAAGAAAAGAAAACAAACCAGAAAAAGAAACAAAAAGAATAGCTCAGTCAATTTACAACTGTATTAAAAATCAAAAGCAAAAGAACATATATATTAAACTTCATATAACATATATGAGTGAATAATTACAATAATGAAATGCCAACCTATTGATATATAAATATAAATTGAATAAAACAGAGAACACGAAATCAGTTCATGAAGAATTCATTTATACGAGAGAAAAGAAAATAATATTTATCTATAGGAAAAAAAGACCACTGACATGTGTACATACACTTTGTTGACTAATGTAAGATATGAAACTATTAATAATAGTAATAACGATACAACGTGATAACATTATCATTATCAACGTTGATTTACTGAAAGTCGATGAAATGCAGCTTGTTAGTACGCATGATAATTGAAAGATTACCAAGATTCATGTGAAAGGGAACTAGTAGAACACATTGAAGTGTAACCGACCTTTTACGATAATAATAATAATATTCGTAAATGAAGCTAATATGAATGAAGACAACAATGAATGAACACCATCATTCTTCATCAAGAAATGAATACCGGCGATGTTTGTATATTATAAAGTGTAAAGATATAAATATTTTGAAGAAATGCTAAGTAGTTAACTAAAAGATCATTAAAAATACAAAATAATAGTACAAGTATGAATTTGTGAAAAATGATCTTTATATAGTCCATTTATCATATTGAATAAAAACAAAATTATACAGATAAATATATATGACATAGTGAAAAAAATATATGACACGGAGTAGGGTGGAGGAAAAAGAATACATAGATAAAAATAATGAAAGTATACCTAAAAAATTTATATATATATATATATATATATATATATATATATATATATATATAGGGGTGTGTATAATGTCCACTGGTTCTTTATTGAGTTTTCATACTTGTTTCATTTTCATCATACTAGATGGATAAAAACGGTAACAAAAAAGAATAACATTTTCACATTTTATTTTACTAATGAATGATAAAACAATGTGAGTATATTCTAGAGAAAAAAAATGATTTTTTTCTAAAACAAGCATAATTTATTATCTACTACTATTAAAACGTAATTACTATGTCATCATATATACATAATTTAGAATCTGTTATGTTATGAGTTTTTACTTTTGGTTCTTTTTTTTAATGATAATCAATAAAATATTGATCGATGTAGTAAATAAGATTATTCGCTATATAATAATCGACTGATATGTTATAGTTATTATTTATACTTTTGTCATTCCAATTTGTGTCACTCATTTATGTCAATTGTTTCACACTAGATCTCACTTCAATGTAAACTTTAAATACATACATGGATGTAAGAAACTGATGGAAAACCATGAAATATAATGAATTCATATTATTCGGCATCCATGTTTGTTCTGGCTTTATTTTAATTCTAATCCGCTTCAATCATACATACTAACATTGAGCGTATGGACATTCTGTGTAATAATAGGATAAACTTTTTCAAGTGTAAGTAAAATATTTTGACTACAGATCAACTTAATTATAATGTTTTCATGTATCATATTCGATAGTAAGACTGTAGAATAACTGGCATTACAATACTCATTAAAAACTAAAAGATTCATCTAGTATTTATACCTTAACAATTAAAAGTAGTGCATTATGTACTATTCATTTAAAAAATTATTGTTTTCGTACTCAGGATGAAATAAGCAATACTAATTATCTAAAAAAATTGCTTAATATAATAATCAACTCAAGTTAACATTAATAAAACCCATCCCAACAGTTTGTAATTGAAAATTATTTTAAAACGACAAACATAAACGCCTTAGCTGTGTCAACTAATGGTCGACGGAATATAAGCATTTAGATATTTTTTTTTAAAAAGTAGAAAATACTGGTACAGCAAAGAGTTCTCTTTTCGGTGAATGGACCAAAATTACATTCAATTAATAAATATTAGTGTATCATGACATTAGGTTAGAACTCTACCACGTATAATTTGAAATTAAAGACAGTAAATTGATGTGACATACATATTTTTCTGTTGCTTATGTCTTAGTTACCATAATGTAACAAAATATTTGTGTCTTTCTGAAGCACCTCGATTTACTATCCACTTGCATTCTATTTGCTGTCTAATTTTTAATGTTTTAAATCTTTTTATATCATAATGAGTTATTACTATGTATGCCCCCAAATGCCCTGGTACGGCCGAAAGTGGGGAGAGTCTGCTCTCCCTCTCCAAATGCTCTCATATGGCCACGCGAATATATGGCCTCTGTCAGGGAAGTCCTACTCACTGCCTTCTCGTGGCACCGGTGTTGTTCACAAAAGTGAGAGGACGAAAAGCGAATGTCCAGCGCTTTAACCGGGTTGGTGGATGTGGAGGATCCACCTAGGGGAGTTGGAAAACCCTGATTCCAAACCAATGGTGCACATGGGCTCTAGTATCCTGAAGGAACGAATGGCGTATGAACCAACTGTTGGTCACCAGCTACCATGGGACTGCATCTCCTCACGATGCTCCACTGCCTTGTGGATCAGACCTTTAGGTCAAAGGCTCCGGGTGTGGCCCCCTAAGAAAACCACCTGCTTCAGTCTGGGCACCTGAGCAGTAACACAGCTCTCACACAAATCGAATGAGATTTGTGAGGCGCATATTTATCTGGTGCTTCCTTGTACCAATATTTATGTGTTTAAATAAATAAATAAATTACTATGTCTAACTCCGAATCTTTCAAATAATAATAGAATTATTGTTAACCGAGTATTAAACACATACACACGCAACATAAACAGGACTTCACTCTATTTAATGACAGCACACACAAAATTGACCAGCACTATGGCACAAACAATTACGACTTAAATAAGCACATTCATGACATACTTTGTTTGTCTTTAATGTATCAAGTTTATTTGTCTACAAACCACATTGAAGATAAATAATAACAATAAAACATGATAAAATGCTCAGTTCTAACACTTAGAAGGTTTTCATTTGTATATAAATTTACTAAAAACAATTGACCTATTTTTTCTTGACTAAATCATTGGTTTTTTAGGAATTCGTTCTAATCATAAATGTATATCGGTCCAAAAAATAATTTTTAAACATACACAGTGAAATTGATTGAGAGGACAGATACCTTGAAGTCATTTGATCATATATTAAGGAAATAGAAAAATGTAATTATCTGTCATAGGTCAAATCACATTTATGTTTATAAGCAAAAAAAAATAATGATATGTACAAATGTCACTGTATAATCAGCTGAAAAATATTTGCCAATAATATAAGTCAACCGTTTGTCATGTGTTACAAATCACTTTTTACTTTAACGTATGATATATAAATATATGCGTCGTTGGCTATTAAAACTAAGCACAAGGTTTGTTGTAAATACCATTTGCCATGAAGAAAAAGAACACTCATTTCTAATTTTTTTGTCTATGACATGATACAAGAGACGGATGTAAAAATATGATGATAAAATAATAATCAAAACATGCCAAAGACAGACTGAAAAAATAAAATGACTTTACGATATGTATTATTAGATTCAGTTAAATTGGATACTAGTCATTTAACAAAAAGGTTATAAGCTTTATATATACAATTTTTACTGACAGCATTTTAAAGTCTTATTCAATGTTCAGTACTTGACACGAAAACTGAGTTAAGTGACTTTTAGTCAGCTGATAGGTAGTAGAAATGTAAGGAATAAAAAAATTTAGATTTAAAGGTGGTCTGGCTTCAATTGACTCACGATTTCAACCATATAAAATTAATAAAATGTCCATAAAACCCCCTTCTCACTTAAAGTTTTACTTCATACCTAATTTCATGTGACTGGAAAATAAATGGCATTCACCACTTGAATAACTAAAGACTAATATAATATAATAATATTTCCCAAAGAAAACAATTTTGAGTGAATTTCGTTTGCAGCGGATTCACCTAATAGTTTTAAAATTAAACAATAATAACTCATAGGAAGACAATGAAAGACTGTATTTATTGGTGGAGATAGACAACACTTCAAAGTATCCACAATATAAATCTCACCAGTACATGCGTAGTCTGTGTTTCTTGAGGATCATATACTTCACTTTGACCTAATCCATGTGAAAATGAAATATCTTCATCTAATTGAGGCGGATTACCTGAAATAATTATTGATGACTGTAACAAATATGCATTACGATATGGATCATGTTGGGCTAACCAACGAAGTGGCATAAATAAGATACTTGACAAAATGAGTAATCCTGCACAAATATAAAAAGATAATATTAAACGCATTGTACATTCTTTATGACCAGTTGATGTAAATTGTATTGGAATAGATTCACAAAATGGAGGATTATCTAAACATCCACGACAAGCTTGATCCGAAAAAAGGCCTAAATATAAAAATGGAAAAGAAAAGAGGGATAAAAGAGAATAATTAGCATGGATAAGATGACTGAGATTTATTTATCTAGAATAATCGATAATGAATGATACGTGTAATCCAGTATAAAATCAATTAGGAAGGAGAACAGTTTTTAAAAAAAATACCATATTAAACATATAATACGTATCCGAAACGAGATTTTACAACTACCTGTCCGTATTTTCTCTAATTTGAGTAAAATTGTCCACCTTTGTTGATGATTATAAATAGGAAAATGTTCCGCTAAAAAAATATTTCCATTCTATAAAATGCACTCTATAATAGTAATAACTGTGTCCATTTTATTTACACGATGATAACTTGCAATATCAGTACTTCATAAATAACTAGTTGTTAGATGATGACCGATTAAAATCTTATTATCATGAATATAGTTTTCATAAATTCGATTGACAGAAATACCTCTAATAGACAAAATATCGATTCAATAAATTGTAGAAATGCACTTTCTTTATTAAAAATACTCGATTACACCGTCTGGTAAAATATTATGTTAATTTCTTAATTACATTTAGAAATACACAATACAACAGAATAAACAACATGGTGTTTTGTTTGCGCTATAGTTAATAAAACAAAATGCATAATAATATGTCTACACAGTCGTAGGGTGATATAACGTGGGTCAAGCGAGAAAAAGTTAATAAACAACAAATTTAGCACTTCGAAGAAATAACACCTATTTGGATAATTAAGGATGGAAAAAAAAACGAAACAATTGTCATGGCTTTGAATCGTTGATCGATATCACGTGTTTTATTGCTAAATCAGGATTCACACCATCAGTTCGTTCCCCTATATAACCAGAAGGACCGGTGAAACTTACAGTACTATTGACTCATTAGTCAATGAATAGAGCGTAAGACCTTAAAGTCTGACAGTAGTTCAGAAAGTTCCAACTTTCCGAAATATTCGTTCTGTTATAACAACCTAACAGAATAATAATAATAATGAAATCTCGGCGAAGATTAATAAACCATAAGCTTATTTATATAAATTTTTCCAAAATGAACCTAGTCAAAATTACTAAACAAATGTTTACTTTTAGATAGTTCATTTGTAAACAACATGTATGTGTATGAATATGCTTATATTGTAACCCCATTATTTTTATTATTAATTTTATCAACTAGTGAACATATTCATATATAAGGTCATAATGTCTAGTTATTCAAATGTGTGTCGACCGTTAGAGTATGTTAATCAACTAGAATTTCATGAGCGACAGTAAATAATAATATTATTATCTGAATGGTCGAACTGAAGTAGATAAATTAAAGCATAAGTTAAAATATATAATGTAACCAATCTATCAAGAACAGATGATTTTATGCAATCAGCGTTGTATCATACTGTTTATTATGAGATGGCGATTAGTGATGTTAATCAGCGCTGTATTTATGATGGGAAAAAGGTTCCATCAACAAACTGGCTGGATGTCAAGTATACTTTGGTCATTCATTGTCCCACAACAGAAGTACATAAATAGATTGTTCTGGAATATTAAGTGATCCCTTGTTTAGATGACAATTAAAAAACTTTGAAAATAATAGTGATGGTAATCGAGGCTATTTTCCTATCTCAAGAAATTACTGATGAACTAATACGCATAGAGATGATCTTTTAAACATGCATCACTTTAATCAAGGTAGTAATGTAAAAAAATTTACATAGTAGAAAATATGTTGTTTTTCAAAAATTCGTTCAAAAGGATGAAAAGAGACTAGGAATAAATTTTAGAACATGGGATATAACAAGGAATGATTTAATATCATAAAGCTTAAAGAAAATCGAGTGTATATAAATATAGTAAGGTGCAACAAAACTAACCATAGACCGAATACTAACATGAGTGTTATTTTCATAATTTCTTTGCTGAATTGACACTATTTAGATGACTATTGAGAAGGAAGAAGTACTGGACAACTACCTCATTCTAACATGCAACTCTTCAGCAACGCAAATCTATCACTCACACTGGGAGTTGAATTAGGAGTGTACCTAACCTTTAGACCAGTAAGTTATAATACCATACTGTACATTTCTTGCTTTAATCAATTTGCGATATTGCTTGACAATCTGCTGATGCCATTAGTGAGGAATAGTCGCACGCCAGACATCAGTTTCGGTGGTTGTCTAACTAAGATCAGTCGATGATGCTGCCTACAAAAATTCAGTAATATCCACAAACCCCTTTAATTAATTGTGGGACGCTGCTTGTAAAAGGTATGAATTTTTCAAAAATGTCTGAGAGAAGAAACTATTTTTGAATGTGGTTCAATCGTAAGGAGAAAGGAAAGAAGGAAGCGAAAAATTAAGTACGATCACAGTTGTTAAACCATTTAGGTAATGGTTCAGTAAATTATAGAATTCATTTTTGCTTTTTTCATTAGTTTTTATTTCATTTTAATCGGGATGACTAGAAATCTGTATGAACAACTAATGAGTTACAATTTGATTCAAAGTAGTCAACCAACTATGAAACGAATTTCAAGTCGATATGCACTTCATTGATTAAATGATATTTATACAAATTAAATTGAATGTACTATACAAAGATAATCTACTATCTAGAGTTGAATTACAGCCATTAGCAAGAAACTTAAGGTTATTAACTTAGATTGTTCAGCATTGCCGTCGACAGCCATTAAAATAGTAAAGTTCAGTTTGAAGAGCGCCCAACGTAAATGTATTGGAATTTAGTTTCATATATAAGTAAGAGAAAGGAATAATTGTGAGACTGTTACCTGATTCTTGCTAACCATTCAACGACAAACATAACTGACTTTTACAATTATTTTCTATATATGTTAAAAATTATTCCATAAGAATGAACCAGACTATCTTTTAATAAATAACTTTGTACTGATATAAATGATCGTAAACCGTACGCTTGCTTTTAGTAAATATGAAGGACAAAAGAGAGATAAGACATTATTTACCGAATAATGGAGGTCCACAAATTACGCCAAGGCCTTGGAAAATAAGTAAATATCCAAATGCATTTGTCAAACGACGAAGACCAAATAATTCAACGAGAATAACACTTCGTAAAGAAATTGATATAGCTGAAAATAAAATGTAAATGAAAAAAACAGATCAAAAATGGCAAATAATACAAAACAAACATAACAGAGCCGGATGGGTGATGTAGCGACAAAAATATTTCCCAGTAGTGGTCAAATTGTAACAAAGTTTAGTCATAAAAATATTGAATAGCAGACGATCTCTACAACAACAAAATTGATGAAAAATTAAAACTCATCTGTTTGAGCTTATCATATCAGCACGTGCACTCAATTTAATAGTACGATAGTTAATTATTTAATTAGAGTGTGATATGTAATCCCTCAGTTTCCTAGAAGTTCCAAAGATTTTTCTACTGGTTGATTAGGAGAAATGGTTTTCATATCTGTTCTGGCTTTCGGAGACATTTGAGAAATAATACTCGGAGGTTCCCAAGCAACAGACAAATTAGCAAACAGCTATTTTTATATACAATGTGAAATGCGACGTTGATATCAATAATGCAGACCATCTTTCTACAACCTTGAGAATTGATCACAGCTTTTTAAAAATGAAAATATACTGTTAATTAGTAGCGAACTGTTTAAGTCCTAACACGAAAATGGAAACCAGTAGGCCTCAACATTCACAAGTGAAAAACCAAGATCATCTAATACAACACATAGGACACCAAGCCAACCGCACATGGTGGAGGAACTCTGGGAGTAAACAAATCAGCTTCCAGATGAAGAGAAAATTAAGAAAGGTGTTGGAAGTGGACAGGACTTGCATTAAAGAAATCATCAGACTGCATCACGAGGCAATCGCTTACTTGAATTCCTGAAGGGAAACGGAAAAGAGGAAGGTCAAGGAACACATTACATCGAGAATTAGAAGCACATGACAAAAAATGAATAGCAAATAGAAACAACTGGGAGGGATTGTGTAGGACAGCGTTGTAAGGAGAATGCTGGTCGGCAGCCTATGCTCCTTCACGAGGAGTAACAGGCGTAAGTAAGTGTTAGTTTAGTACAAAAATGGTAAGCGGAACAACGACCAATCATCCAGTAAACATAATCAGCCAAAAAAGTTAGGTTTTAAATGAATTCTGGATGTATTAGGTAGAAATAATTGTGTAATGGTAGGAATAGCCCGAAAACTGAAATATTCATTTGGAGTTGTTCCAATATGGTTAGATGAATTTATAAAAATGAAAATTACATAAATGAGAATTTTTTAGTGAATCGATTGTAATCAAACAATGATACAATAACATAACTTACTATTAGTTAAACCATATACTATACTACCGAGATATAATAAATGACGCCGAAACTTTAAAGACCATGCTTGTAGAAGGCGTTGAGACGAAGACTGGTCCGAATTTTTTGTCAACAGAATACCATGAATTGCTAATGGGAATGAGATAACTGAAAGTCCACAAACGATTAAAGCGACATTATTCAAGAGCATAGGATCTACCATTAGAGGAAACCGACACAAAAATTTTCGATTTGTATTCAAACCCTTTTCAATATACAATCCTGTATACAGAAAGATATAAAATAGTTATTAATCTACCAAAACATTCACATTACAAATCATATGCCAAAAGTAATTAAGATTGAAATATATTCAACTGAAATAAATCAATTACGAAAGAGATCACCTCTCGCATTCCCTAAAACTTTATTCGTTGGATAACAATATGAAAGTACCTATAATGATGTCATATTAAGTAATAAGGTCTTATTAATTATTTGTTTGTCTTTAATTTTATCAAGCCACTAACCTTCAATTATAGAGATTTGAATAATTTGAGGGTTTCTGATACAGGCTAAGATCAACTGCAGAACTATTGAAGACCAAAACGTATTCAATTGTTATTTGGAACTCCTTAGCAGTATCGACTGACTACATAACACCAGATGTAATACAGAACCGTCAGGTTCAGCTGAGATCATGAAGTTAAATAACCACTAGGTAAGAATTCAATGCTCCGCATTTTCCGATCTGAGTTGACTCACGACACTGGATGCTCACTGTCCAATGTCATTAAATAACAGTCTGGATTACTTCATTACTCGAAAAATAATTTGAGATCATATAATACGGATTTTTTATCAATATAACCATTTAAACCAGTAACACAGTAATTTCTATCGTTTGATATTAAACAGAGTTCTCGTGAGTATTTATCTAGGTCAATCAGTTCAGTTTATTTATTGCTCGACCATCATAAATGCTTACAAGATATTTTACGAAAATGATAGGATATTATATTATAACCAATATATTCAAATAATAGCCATCTATTTGACGACAGCTACAAAACATTTTCAAAGAATATACAATGTAAAGGTTAACACTAATCTTGGTAGCGAACATAGGAAAGTGAAATGGATTAGCCTAGTACTTAGTTACAATTATTAATTGTCAGGTGTATTCAGAGAATAAATGAGTTTTAGGTAAAGAAATCAGTTTGAATTTTTAATTCACAGACCATTTTTTATGTCAATAATAATGAAACATCTCTATGTTTAATTGCAGCTTACAAAAGTTTACCAGAACGCATGTTTGCAATATACTAACAAGTTATCTTTCCTTCAATACACTACACTAAATGTTGAAAGTAATTTATGCTTTATGCTTAGGAAAAATTATAGTAGACTTATCCATATCTTGAAACTAAACTCAATTTTACGCTTGAAGTATAGCTCAGTATGGAAAAACAGGAAAAGAAAACTAAATTGTAATAAACAGTAATGATGTTGTACAGAAAATCGTCCCCTGAGTATTGATTAGTAAAAATGCATATTTTGAAAGCTTGTGTACGATAATTTACGCATACTTCATCTCAAACCAATGTAAACAAAATATACTTACGACAGAAAAAAGATACTTATAAGTATGAAAAAAACATCATAGAGCAGTTGATTATCAATAAAAATAGATCCATTTGATAAAAGATATACAGATAACAAATAAGGAAGAATCTTCAGTTATCATGAAATAGTACACAGACACGAATAGTACGTTTATATGAACGAACTAAAAAAATAAAAACAGATTAATGAGGAACAAATAGTTACGGGGAAAATAATATGCATCTAACGTTTTGAAGAAGATGAGAAGAAACTTGATGGATATCTTTCCTGAGTCACTGATGGTATAAATCAAATAAACTTTGTAAATATATTACGATATTATAAGCGTCAGATCTACTATGGTAAATGAAACTCCTAAGGTATATGGAATTAAACGACCCCTGCTATTATGCAACTTAGACGTTTCATATTTTAATATTATTCGTGCTTATCCCTAAATGAATTTGTCAGCGTGTTTAAAACAATCAAATATATCTACAATCAAAAACGTATGTGATTTACCTGCAAATAAACGACCAAGAATACTAGCACAACCGATCGTTAAAAAAAGGGATTCTGAACTAGAAAATGCATAGTTTCTCTTTAAAGCGTTGATATATTTAACAGCTGATTGATCGTACTGATTAGATGTTCGATTATATTTAATCTCATCGGTCAATCCATTCGGACACCAAAATGAATTAAAATAACACTCAAGACCACCGTAATCCAATAAAAGTGGAAGGTAGTGAAATGGAACTAAAAAAACTGTAACGAGGAGTAAGGAATAGAAAAGAAAATGGCATGAGAAAAAAATTGGAATTAAAGAAAATTGACTTCATTTAAATATGTAAAATGTAGCCGTGGATGTCAAACTCACTGATTCTTTAAACTAGCAAAGAAATCGATCCTCGGACAGTAAATATGGCATTTCAACTTATTAATAAATGAATAAAACAAGATAAGCAACTACATAAGAATTTTTAGGTTATGATTTGACTAGTAATTCTGGTTAAAGTATTCAATATCTAGTCTAAGATGACATTATACTGATTTCATTTTCAATAATCTAGTAGCATCTCCACTACTCAAGTAGACATTGTAAACTATACTATAATACCTATACTTAAATCTGTACTCATTTACTGAGTTGGATTATTAGATGTTCATTACCGATTAAAAGCAAGTTCAAAAACTGGGTTTATCGCTGATTTTCACCTGTTTCAGATGGATCCATTCAACTTAAGAAGAATATTAGATTTTATCATGAAGCTTCATGCTTTGTACTTTTCTATTTATGATTCAAATGCAGTACATTCATTAATATCAAAAGTAAAGTTCGCATATTGGATGGTACAGAAAAATTTTGCTGAAGAGCAGATTTCTTACAACCATTGAACTTATTTCAATCATCCACTTTTTAATGGTTTATGGGCATTCTTGTGTTGAAAATGAGATTACAAGATCAGTCACATATTTTTCTATTATTAATAAACTTTCTTATGATGAAGTAATATCTTTGACACTATACAGATAAATATATAGATGAAAAATATGATTAATAGTTAGCATTCTTTAACTAGAATAAATGAACATTTGATAAACATAATTAGTATGCAGGAGTATAGAAATATATGTAATTTATTTACATTAAAAAAGGTGTTCATAACATACAATTAAGTTATTTCTATAGCAACCATCACAAAATATCATCTTATTCTAACACAGAGATGAATTCACAATAAATTCTAATATTCCAATAATAGATAGTTAATTAATAAATGAAGCTTAAATCATGATCATGATATTGAATATTTCTTTTAGAAATTCGACCTTCTTTTTTGGAAAACAAATGATGCATTCAACATCCTTTGATAATTAACTAGGATCAAAATAATGTTCATTACGATTTTCTTTAAATGATTCCACTGACCTAAGTTGACAAGAGGATAAAATACAATTAAATAACTTCAGTATGTTATACATTACTGTTTTAGAAGAAAATGAAACTTAATCACACGGCCCAGAAAGCTTTTCTTATTCATTGCAATGAATTAGAAAAACTAAGTATACTTAGAATTATCTGCTATATACTAATCAATAACCAACTAAATAAAACATGAGCTTTTTTAAAAAACTGAAAAATTTATAATTCACTCTTACCCAACATATTTACAAAACAGGCAATTGAAAGAATAATAAATGTAAAACTTTTAAGTATTTGATTATCTAACATATCTGCAAGATAGGAGAATAATTCACTGGTTCTTGGTGAAGTAATAAATTTTTGAAGATTAAAAATACTCTTATTTTGTTTTAATGAATGAATAATTATGTCAGACTTTTGATTATCAGATATAAGTGATTTATTCCGAGTTAAGATGATATTCTCTACAGGAATAATACCTTCAAATAGATTCGGACATTGATTTACAATAGGATTATGTGATTGAATTGTCAATTCTTTTAAAGTATAATTTGCCTATATCGAAAAAAAGAAAGGATTAATGAATTAGACAAAAGAATAAATCACATACAATTAGTAGGTTGGTAAAAAATAAAACAAAACAGTGGATACAAAAAACAAAACTACTCATTTTATTGGGAGATAAATTTTCAGGTCTATTACACTTGATAACATAAAGTACAAAAAACAGGAAATATGGAAAAGTAAACCTCATCAAACTTGACAAGAAGCAAACAATCTTATGTATTAGCATAATAATCCAATTGTAATCAAATACAATTCGACATCATGTCTTGTAACTAATGTAATAATATTTAGTTTTTATTAAACAAACAGCAAAACATTTTTTTACAGATCACTGTTTTGTTTAATACTAATGACTTACTAATGATGAAGATTTTTTCAAAGAGTAACATAAAGACTTCGAAGTGAAGTGAACAATGAACCAAATTTTATGTTATTTGTTTGATAAGATCGATTTCTCGATAGTATAATCTAATTGATTCGTTGGAAATACAAATAAGAACTTATTTCAATGTCCCAAATTTTCTTTTGGATTAAAGTGTTACAATGATATAAATTATCTAACAAAAAGTTAAAAATCCCCCATAAGGATTACTTCTGATTCAATAGTTTCTGTGTATAAGAGATTGATACAACAACCTTCATGTACCTCTTGCTATATGATAAACACCATCTTATCGACAATACTTTATATAAAAATTAGCTAGTTCAAATAAAGTTAGTACATCTGTTTCATGTGAAATTCGAAATAAAAATAGCTTCGAAAATCGGAAATCAATTCTCAGACATTCATTTTTATGAGAAAATAGGGATTTAATGAAAGATGACTGTGGTCAAACTCTTCAGGCAAGTTCAATTATATATTCACAGTTCATATATATTACTTTGAAAATAAGTGGATACATCTTTACTGAAAATCATGAAGTAGTACTCAAAAATGAGATCATATAGGGTGACTCTAAACAACAACCAAGATAACTTATTTCGCACTATTTACCACTGTAATGACATTTTGAATATTTGGATCACATATTAACCTGTTAAGCTATCTTTATTGTTATAAGTCAATCCTTCAATCACAAGCAACTTAGAATCTGGCACAAATATCCATCGGGCCAAGTTGCCACATCACATCAGCACATAGAAGATTATTAGGATCTGAAATCAAAGACTTGAGAATTACAGTATTTTTCCGTACCGGAAGAAGTATAAAGGAGAACAATACAAGTTAGTTTTCTAAGTAGAAAAATGTTATTCATCGAGTGCAATAAAAAACACTGTCTGAAATTCACAGACTTTCACGTTATAATCTTTTAGTAAAGCAATCACAACTAATTGATTGTCGTCTGTCGTTAGAAAAATAAACGCAAAGATAACAAATTCATGTACCGTGAACAAAATTTCGACAAAATACTGTTAATTTTGATAAAATGAATTTATGTGTATATGAGAGTTGTAAACAACAAAAAACAAGTCATATGAATTGTTCTGGATAAAACCTATTTTTCATTGGTTGAAAACGCACATCAATATAGGTCATACGAAACAAAGACTAAATGCATAAATTTCTAATTGAATATTAAATTATATATATTCCAAAATATCAACTGTTGTATTAGGGCGTTTAAAGGTCATATTCAAACTCAGTCATTTCGGCTGTTATCAAAACTCTCAAGATACGATAGTATTATAATACCATTATTACAACAGAGTCTATATGAACATCCATACTCCGGGCATAAGATGATCATGCTATTATAGTAATAGCTGAGATGCTCGTTCTCAACTCCTCGGTATAAGATATAAGATGATCATTAACATGAATGACTAAGTACTATTATTATTAGCTTTATTCAATATTATATTTTTAGTACAACATATAATTCTCAGCACAAAGCATTTCAACAAGTTTCTGTTTCTCACTTTTTGGTCGATTCTGACGATAAATATTATGTGATCACCAGTTAGAAGTTAGCAGTCCAATAAATCGACACCTAGATAATGTACATTCTGTTTGTTGTATATTGCCAACAACCACGATATCTCTGATTGGACCTTTTTAACTTGCACAGTGAAAGGTTGTACAATTTTCAGAAACGCGCCTGAATAGGTTATGCGATTAATAGCCATAGTGATGTATTAAGACAAATAAAATTAGATAAGTTGTTGAAATATCTAGATGGCAGGAATAGGTAGCCCAGATGTTCAAGCAGGCCTCCATACCATTCTGTATTTTATTAAAATATATTGTATTTAGGACTTTTAGATAAAGGCAACTAGAATGAATTCTCACGCTCACACTTTGCAATTATTAAGTGAATATATTACTGTGTTAAAAAGGTATAAGTAATTGGTCAGTATATATAAATACAAATAAAGAAACGTTACTGTATGAAGATTTTTATCTTAAATAATTTACAACTGTCTAATACTAATTATTAGAAACTTCCGATACAAGTAGTCAATGTTTAAAAAGAAAAACGTTATCCTATTCAAGTGGTTAATTTTTAAATAAAAATTTATGGTTACATAATGGTAAATAAACGAATATTAATACTACATACGAGTGTAATATGAAATAAACTTAGCAACATTTTGAGAAATTAGGGCCAGTCAAAGTTTTATTACACAAACTGAGTTTGTGTAACTCCTCTCTATCTAACGTTTCCATCAGTATCCGTATGAGTTACAACAGAACTTTGGTTCGCTTTACTTTTTTTTAAAAAAAGGAACTACATGAAAAAATTTGTTAAAAACGAAAAAACCAACAAAGGAGAGAAGAGTGCATTCATAAAATAATATAACATTTATTATCTATGTTTCGAAGAAAAAATATGTAAACTTACATCACATGATAATTGTTTACATGTTGTATATTCAGGCACATGATACAAGGGAAGTTTACGTTTATTACCAGAGTAGAAAAAATCTGGACGATATTTTGGACGACTTAACTCACGACGTATATCATTCAGTATAGCTAGTTTTGTAGATTGATCTAACAGAAGACTATTCAATTCACGTGATATAATATGTCCTGTATAAGAATCTAAACTGATTAAAGATGTTAGCCCTGAAGGTGAATCAGGTGTTGGTAATTTCAATCGAATATGCTTAAAAGGAATAAAGAATATATATACATATACATATAAACACTTATAGGCATAATGAAAACACAACGATTTTAAATTAATTAGGATTGTTTTAATCTTTTATTACGAATTTAAATACTCCATATTTTGTGTTAATGTATACTTTGCTTCACTCTTAGTGTCGGCTAAGATGAGAAATTAATTTATCCAAGTTTTACACGTCATTTCTTTCATCAAAAAATGACTGCGTTGGTATAATCCTAATCCATATTTCTGGAATAACATATGCTGTTACGTAATCGATTGTCATCACTTTTAGTTTGTTAAATCTGTTACATCCTTCATGGGCATTGTGTGACACGAAATGTAAAGTTATCTTTTATAATGTGCTGACTATAGAATTAGAATGAACTAAAAATATAGAGGTCGATAAACTAGACAATAGTTGGTCTGTATCATTGATTCATTGAAATAATCATATAATCTAGTCGGTCATTTCGCTTACTGACGATTAGCCTTTCCAAAGACGTATGAAAACACAGGCATTAGACTTTCATTATTGATGTTCCTGCTTATGATAATAAATGATATACAATGATTCATTCACACTTCCAAAAAAACTCTAATACAGTAACAACAATGAACTTCCAAATGATTGCGTGATTCATGATCTTTAAGTTTCACCTTGGCCGGGAATTTCCATCAACTATACATGGTTATCAGGTTGATGAAATCACCATAGAGATACACATAAAATAACCGTTTAGCACTCATCAGATACTGTCAACAGTTGTGCAGGTAACAGATGATTATTAATCAGAGAGTATTTAAATGTGTAAGACAAGTAATGATTTATGAATGCATTAAAAACACTTCACCCACATGATCGAATTTATCTAAATTGAAACCGCACGAAAATATAAACATTTATCCATTAGTATAAAACTGTAAATTAGTGGCTTAAGTTAGCCGACAAGATACCCTGAACCTAATTTTAATGTCGTTATGGACTTGTTAGCAAGACATACCTGCAATCTTGAAGGAGCTGATGCTCCCTGGAGTATTCGTCCATGTATCACACAGCTTCACAGTCAGGGACCTAACCAGTGGGCTGGACAGCGACTGCCCTTCTATAAGACTAAGACGTATTTACAATTGATTGGTGACTACTCAATGACCAATGTCATGTATATCAAGTCCCATTCGCTTCTGAATGAATTTAATAGACCAACCAAGACCTTACAGTCCTATATAGTGCGCGCGATATCAAGTGCTATAGACTAGTGACCACAGTGCAAACTGATCAATAGACCTCAGTCAACGCTAAGAAGGACTTGACACGCATGAAATTGGTTAATACACAGTGACCAATCAATTGCGAACCAGTGCAAAAAAACGAGTGCGTAATTCTATCTACATAATAGTTATGGAATAAGAAAAGAGGCTCATTGTATCATGGAAAAAAAGAAGGCAGTTCAGCGAAAGAAATTTTCTTTCCGACGATTTCATTTACTTAAACTGTACAATCGTATTTATAGTCTATTTCATCCGCCAAAATAGTATTCTATAATAAGATAGAATGATGCTAAATACTTAGAAAATTTGAAATGATATGTTGTCAAAAATTTAAAATCAGATGTTCAAAGGAAGTTATGAAGTAATCGGTTGATGAGAAGTGCTAAGATAAACATAATTGTCTGCTTGACAGCTATTAAGATCAGAATAATCAAAAAATGTAATGATGGCTAAATAACAGTTGTGAAAGTATTAGAAAAGGGACAGAAACAATGAAATGAAAAATGATAGATTCTAGAAGACAGGCAGGACTGAAAATACCGCTCTGTACACAAAGGTTAGACTTGAACTGGTGAACAGCAACAATCTCTTTCGTACATAATTTTTTCATTTGCATTCCTTAACAGCCGATCTTTCTGACAGTACATGTGGTTTTGAAGGGAACTTTAGGTGAAATGGAGTGGTTAAAATTGACTATAATCGTTTGAAGAGTCATGCAGGGTGACGTTCTGAGACGCCTTTCGAAATTGCTCACTTTGTGTGCGGCCAATATAACCTGTTCCACATGAGCAAGTATGGAATAAATAACTAATGTTTATATGGCCGCTTTCTTTATTTTTTATTTTTATTTGAACACAAATATTGGTACAAGGGAGCACCAGATATATATGCACCACACAAAACAATCAGAAGAAGAAGAGAAAAGAGGTGAGGTGCATATAAGAAGAAAAAAGAAGGAGCAACAAGAACCAAAGATTAGCGTATAATAGTGTAATAATAAGAATAATAATGAGGAAAGCAGAAAGGTACAATCAGAAGATCTCTTTCAGTTAAGGAAGTTATAACTATTTTTTAAGAAGAAAGTAAAGGAAGGTTACAGCAGAATCGCCACTGACTTCTATTCTGTGCCATATCTGATAACGTCTCTAGCCACTGTGCTGCACCATCTCTCCGACCCAAACCAGGGAATCGTGAAGGACCAACAGAGGCCAGCCCTTTGCGGCTTTCTTTCATACCACGACACCATGTCATACACTGACCACCTCTCCACTTTTTCCAACCAGTCCCAGAGTCGGCAAATAATGCAGGACGTGGAAGTCTCTGGGACGACATTCGTAAAACATGTCCAAGCCACCGAAGTCGATGTTTCAAGATGGTGACACCAATTGAATTAACGTCTCAGCTCCCGAACACACGATGCCGAACCTCTGCATTACTAACATTGTGTTGCCACTGGACGTCAGCAATCCTTCGGAGACAAGCGAATGTCCGGCGCTTTAACCGGGTTGGTGGACATGGAGGGTCCACCTAGGGGAGTTGGAAAACCCTCATTCCAAACCAATGGTGCACATGGGCTCCAGTATCCTGATGGAACGAATGGCGGACGAACCTGTCATTGGTCAACGGCTACCATGGGACTGCATCTCCTCACGATGCTCCACTGCCTTGTGGATCAGACCTTTTGGTCAAAGGCTTGGGGTGTGGCCCCCTAATAAAACCACCTGCTTCGGTTTGGGCACCCGGGCAGTATCACAGCCCACACACAAGTGTAGCGCATATGTACCTGGTGCCCTTTTGTACCAATATATATGTGTTTAAATAAATAAAAATATAAACTTCGGTGACAATGATGATCAAACACAGAGACTCGTCTAACATCCTCAACTCGGAGAGGCTAGGTTTCACAAGCATAGAGCAAAACTGTTTTCACCGACGCGTTGTAGATCCGACTTTTTACAGCCAGACTAACATCACGAAGGCGCCAAAGATGGCCCAGATTGGCATAAGCCGCTCTGGCTTTCATTATACGTGCATCAGTCTCATCATTCACGCCACCACCAGCACTTATATAGCTACCTAGATACACGAACTTCTCAACTACTTCAATCTGCTCACCATCCACGGTGAGTACAGGATTAGAATCCTGCCAGTCTTCTAGGAGTACTTTGCACTTGGAGGGTGCAAAGCACATGCCGTACCTGCGGACACTGATTGCCAACTGATTAAGTGCGGATTGCATGCCTTGGGCATTATCGCACAGTAAGACAATATCATCGGCATACTCGAGGTCGAGAAGTCGTTCTCCAGGCAACATATCCACACCGCCATTACTTACATCCATCAGAGCTGTTTCCAGGATGTCGTCGATAGCAAAGTTGAAGAGGATTGGTGAGATCGGGCAACCCTGCCTCACCCCACTGCTCGAATGGAACAAGGGAGAAAGGTGGTTGTATGCCCTCACTCTGCCTGAGGTGTTCGTATACAGGGCCTTTAAGATGTTAATGAACTTATCAGGCACACCCTTCTTCGATAGACAATCCCAGAGAACAGTCCTGTCCAACGAATCGAAGGCTGCCCTGATATCAAGAAACACTACGATTGTTGACGGTGTTCTAACATTTGGCGAAGGATGAAGATGTGATCAATTCATCGCCGACCAGAACGAAAACCAGCCTGCTCCTCGCGAGTCAATCTTTCTCGGGTTTTGAACAACCTACGAAGTATGACTTATCCCCCGATAGTTGTTACAGGACAGACAATAAACTCAAGAGCTGACTGAACCCAGGGCACACTAGACAGTTATTTCATCTTAGTTTGAAACTTCTCCCAATTCGGCACTAAAATTTGGACAATTGAGCCCATTGAACTGAAATCAAACAGTTCACACTGTCAACTACAGTCGACATAAAATATAGCTGGATGGTCAATATTTCACTGATTATACTTAACCTGCTCCTGACATGATGAAACTCAGCAACCAAAGCTTCTATCTAGGACTTCTGTAACACATTAGAATGCTAAAAACAAGCTAATGAAGATTATCTTCCAACTGAACTAACGACAAACCATTTAACATTACTAACTAATTCGCAATCTTTATCGTACAGTATGACAATGGTTAAATAATGCCCAGTAAATAAATATTCAAATTAAGTATTGTTCTATAAAACAAAGCAAGAATAAAATTCTACAAATTTAGAAAACAATTATCTTAAAACAATAAGATAATACATACCGATTCTTGTGCAGAGATAGGACGGCTCACTGCCGTTGATAAATGGCGTACAAGAGCAGTTGAAGCTACTGAATCTCTAATGTTTGAAGCCAATTCACTATACAAAGAGGAGGCAAATAAACTTCTTTTTTGCCTCCATATATTTGTAGCTACAGATCCGTGGCATAGATCATATCGATAAACTTGGTTGACTCGGTCATAAAGAACATTTCGTGAACTATTTGTATATGGTGTACTGAAATTTGCACATGAATCAATACGATTATCACCACTAAATCGAAAAGATGATGGTATAACTTGTCTTGAACCAGTTGATATGGAAGTAATTGACGGTGAAAACGGCAGTCTACTTTGTCCGTGTAATTTTTGTAAGATTGCATGTGCTATACGTCGTACAGCAGCACGGCTGAATTGCACGGGCGGAGGAAGTACTGCGATACAAGGCTAAAATAACACACAAAAGCAAGTAAAAGAATTACGATTTGTTTAATTACGGGTAAATTCAATACCAATATGAAACTGCTAGAAATAGTTCAAATGATAAGCAAAAAATTGAATAAAGAAGTACATTTTTATCCAACTAGCTTACGTTTGCTTAACAGAAGAAATCAGATACAAATATCTGACAAAGTTTTTACCATATTTTTAACTTTATTTGCATTTTCGCTAAATCATGAAACACATTCATCTCTAATCACCTTTATATTTATAAATATGTCAATATCTGTAATAGCTTTGATTTTAAAATATTATAGGTTGTAAGCAGCTGATGAAAACATAACGAAATAAAATGAATTCATATTACTTTGCGCCAATCATTGTTCTTGCTCTCTTCAAGATAATAAAGGGAACTTTGTTTATGGAAGGTGACTGGTTAAATACTTAAATCATTCATTCATAGCAAACTGAAAAATATGTACACAACAAAACTATAAAACTGCTTCAATACGATGATTGCCACATTTTGGAAATGTACTATTTTAAGGAATAAAATGAATCATGGATATTTGTAATCATAAAGCTAACCAAGAAGGTTAAACAAATAAACAGAGACAAACATTATCAACAAAGAGCCTAGCACAAATGTGCGTAAGCTCAATTTGGCATAAATGATTAACACGAAATGAAAACAAAAAAAACGATCGAAATAATGCAGTAGCGATGAGACGAGTAAATACTAAGTCTTGGAGATATAAGTTGAAAAGACAGAAAGCAAAAGTATCCATGAAGACATACTGAAGCTCAAGATCGAGAGAAGGATAAAGAGTGAATGTATCTACGCCAGCGTAAGAAATCCTGAGCCGTGTCATCCAACGTCTGAACTCATTTCTTGAATAACCTATGTTTGACCTCAACATAGCTCACCCAATTATTCCATAAAACCCAACCAATGTTTCACAGACACCTTTGATTGAAAACCTTAAAGCTACCCATACTTATTTTCACAGACCACGTCCAACACGAATGAAATAGAACAGGAAGAACTTCTGCGTAGTATAAACGCCATTTGTTTGGGAGATGGGCATTTCGCCTACGTTATAATTAATTCAAGCTGTCAAAAACCAATCGGGCTTTCTGAATCCAGACTATAATTTGGTCTGACACCAATCCACTAAGATAAGTAAAGTGGACAACGCATTCAACTACTTCACTACTGCTAACTAGTCCGCAAGTTGATGCACACAAATTCCGAAGCAATATTTCGGATTTAGAGGGAGATAAATGCATTCTAGACATGGTAGAGCTGTTGCTAAATGTGATGAAAGACACTGCACCTTGTCCGAGTCTGCAACAACTAGGACTCTGTCAGCATCCTTAAAAACCTTGGAAGTTAAGCTGCCAGGACCCTCCCTTGAAAGTCACGTAACCAGAGAATGAATACAAATACTATGTGCAACTTTTACAGACAAGAACGGATTTACATGAACTTATACGCTTCAACAGATATCTTGCAGGTTTATGAATATATGTATAAAACTATGAACCAATAGAAATACGGTTATTATATTTACATCTTATAACATCTTATCTATTGTTTAAAGAATTTGCTTATATGTCATTTATGCAACGCAATATCACCATAATCTTATCAAGCGGATGTCGAAATTTCAATAACAATGTAACTACAGACAGGAAAAGATATATAATAATAACAATCTGGAATTTTGTACAATATTTCATCGATATAATATTTTTTTTAAAAAAAAACTGTTTTCTCTCAATTTCTATCCCCTGCTCAGGCTTTTTATATTGTGTAATGTATAATCAATCATTTGACAGAATTGTGCAGAAAAATCCATAACATTAAAAATGATAAAACTAATTGTCTTTCTAAATAGTTCTCCATTAGTAAAGAAAGGAAATGATTAAAGAAGAAAACAACAACACAATGCATTAACAGATTATAGTCAAACACCTGCTTTAGTATAATTCAAGCAGTTTTATTTTCTTTGTTCTTAAAAAATAAATTTTATCTGAAATTGTTAGAATGAATGTTGAATTAATTTCACTAAGTAGTGCTTTGTCATATAATATGCAGTTGGCGGGACAATTATTTGATGATTTTACAAAAATGAATAGATCGATTATTTAGTTAGAGTCTACCATCTACATGTCCTGCTATAAGTCAATCATATCACTTAGATATGCATATTGAGTTGTCGTATTCACTTTTGGTTACACAGTTTTCAACGAGATCTTTGTTTTTTCACTGCTTATTGGATAGGTCATAAGTTAATAGTGTGAATACAAACTGAATCATACGGTAGATCAAAACAAATCTTCGAATTTCATAAGCTACAGTTAGCATAAAGTATACTGATGATTATTGACTTGTTCAAGTCCCCGATTACAACTTTTGATATAAGTAGAGGGATCAAAATGGTATGAATACTTAATGTAGACAAATAATTCATCCCCAGTTTATATTTTCAATAGGCGACAGCACTATAAATCAGAATAACCGGCTCTCCTTGTTTAAGAATACTAAGCAACGGTTTTATTTTAAGCTATAACAGAAACCGAAGCATACATTTATGAGTGTACAATGAAAACGAGATAAATAATCATTTATTTGATAAGCAAAGATGGATAGTGGCTAGCAGTGGATTCCAGGACGCGCGTTTCGTCCTATTTGGGACTCATCAGCTGGATGTACCTGCATCTCAGAGTTGATGTTCACTCAGTGGCCGCGTGGATAACGCGATGGCGTTTGAAGCGAAAGGTACTGGGTTCGAGTCCCAGAGTGAACATCAACTCTGAGATGCAGGTACATCCAGCTGACGAGCCCCAAATAGGACGAAACGCGCGTTCTGGATTCCACTGCTAGCCACTATCCATCTTTGCTTATCATGCTTGTGGATCAAGGCTATATCGAGACAATACGGACAGTATGCACATATGCCAATTAAAGACTGACCAGTTGCAGTCCTAACACATCGATGGGAAGATTCAAACAAACAATACTAAGAGAATCATTTATTTATTTATTTATTTTCAATATATAATTAGCCTAATTGTATATTTCATTTTATCCTAATTATTTTCAACTATTAAATATTTATCAGAAGGGGTTTTGTGGAGATTTAGTATTTATCATTGTTGAAAGCGTGAGTCAATTGAAACTAGACCACCATGGAAAACCTGGAGACACTGGACGGCCGTTTCATCCTATTATAGAACTCCTCAGCAGTGCGCATCCACGACCTCGCCTCGCGAGATTCGAACCGAGAACCTACCAGTCTCGCGCCAGAGCAGTTAACCGATAGACCACTGTGCTGGCATCCATGGTGTTAATGTCTAACTTCAATTGATCCACGAAGTTGATCAACCGTTCACCAATTGTCTTCAGTGAGTTGATATCTCACAACAGACGTGGTTTCTACACAACCATCATATGAATTTTTTAACGACTGTAGAATGTTTCAAAACTACTATTATTATTATTTTTTTTGAAATTATGACTGTTGAATTATTTCGTTGTTAATATGGTAATCAACATAATTGAATCAATAAATAAAAAGTTTCATTAATTGGTTAGAGAACAAAAAAACAGGAGTTCAGTCAACTAACATATGTACAGTTATTTGGAAGTAAATAACATGGAGTTTCAATGCTTAATTGTTTGAATAAGGCAAGAACAGAGATTAACATAGAATAATATGTATTTATTTTCATTTTATGGTTCATAAAAGTGGATCGGTAAATAGGCTAAAATGAATGGATATGTCAAGTACGATAAAGTTGAAAAGAAATCTTGTTGTTCCTTACAACTTGGCTTTAAATAAGATGAAACTAATGGATTAATTGACCATAAAATAAATGCAGGGTTATCAAGAACAAACAAAAACCAGCAATTGCCTTTTTAATAAATTCAACTGCATTTACAACTTACACGCACGCGTCAAAGCACATACATTGCGAGAACAGAGAGGAGAGTACAAATTTGTATTCCTGAGCACGTTCCAAAGAACTTGAGACTAAAATGTATCACAGCTTCAAACAGTGCAGTAGTTCAACATTTTTAGTCAACACTGGTCACATTGTCAACTTTCACCGATCTTCCAAAATAGTTCACAGACAGAAACAGACACAAATTCTTTACGTTTTGCTGAAGCAGTAGCTATCAGAAAACTCAAACTGAATTTATATGTCCAAAAGGAGACAGTTGCCGATTCATAACTGCTATGGAGAATTAATTATAATCATGGTTTATATTTTTACTCAGCACTATTTTTACTATATCTTACTCCATACACTCAACGAGTTGCTCTGATGCTGTCCAAAATAGCACGTGATGCACTAATAGGATGAGAATCTTATGGATTCCAAATCATGAAAGTACTATTCAAAACAAAAAAGGAGGGAATCACATTGAATGTTATCCAAGTTACACACCCACCAATGATAGCAACGACGATGATAAAGGTTAGTTTTACTAGAGGCTGTAATCAATCATAGTGGAGTGCTCAGGAAAGAACCTGATCATCCTGATGAAAAACCAAAAAGCCAAAGTAGGAATGGACAACATCGGGTACGAAGCTATCATGGGACGACATCGCTTGGTAGAAAGGAAGGAGAATGGAACCTTCTTTGGCCCTATGGTGTACCTGAGAAGATCGTCGAGATTATACGGAATTCATATGATAGACTACGCTGCGAAGTCGTGCATGAAGGACAACTGTAAGACGCATTCCAAGTGAGGACCGGAGTCAGACAAGATTGCTTACTACCCCCCTCTCCCTTTCTTCTGGTAGTTGACTGGATTATGAAGACCTCTACATCTCAAGGGAAGCACAGAATACAATGAACAGCTTAGATGCTGCCAGTAGTTTGGACTTCTCAGAAGACACAGCTCTTCTATTCCATTCGCACCAAAAATCCAGGTGAAGACAGCCGGTGAAGTAGTAGGCCTAAACATACCCAAGGAAAAAACAAAGACCTTCAAATATACCACAGAGAACACCAACCCAATCATACTTAACTGAGAAACTTTGGAAGAGGTGGAAAACTTCATCTGTCTGGACAGCATCAGCGATGAACGTAGAGAATCTAATGCAGATGTAAAGACAAGGATTTGCAAAGCAAGGACAGCATTCCTACAGTTGAACAACACATATGAAACTTATAGGGGCTGTTACTATGTCAAGCCCACATAGATTATCCAGGACAGATCAATCTATTCATTCTTCTCAGACTACATCTTGACCCTGTCAATCATTGGCTTATTAATCCTAACTGTTTTTGTATGGTCGTATGTGTGGGATTCTCATCCTATTCATCACATGTCTATAACTTCATTCTGTTCGACTATAAGTATCGATTCACGCTAAGCTGAATTGAGTTGGCCTACTCGCCTTCTCCGTTGCGCATCATTTTGTTTTGCTCCGCTTTCTGGTCAACGACCGTATGAAATATACGTATTCGAAATCCATTCTCGCATTTGATTTATTTAATTCCATTATTCACCAACGTGATTTAATTCGATGATTATATACGAGGGTTGGCAACATGTATGTTTTGATAACAACCATTAATACGATCTAAATGCAATCACATATAGGGCCACTCAAAACAACTTTTAGGCAACATCCAAGTCAGAGTCTTCAATACGAAAGTCAAGACAGTTCTGTTGTACAGAGCCGGAACTTGGAGAACTAACACAACCATCATCAAAAAAGTAAAAGTAATTGTAAACAATTGTCTACTCAAGATACTCAATGTCAGTTAACCGGATACAATCAGAAACAGTCTATTGTGGAAGAAAACAAATCAGCTTCCTTCTGAAGAGTAAATCAAGAAAAGATGCTGGAGGTGGATAGGACATGCATTGCGGAAATCATTAAACTATCACAAGGCAAGCGCTAACTTGGAATCCTGAAGGGAAACGGAAAGGAGGAAGGCCAAGGAAAACATTCTATCGTGAATTAAGAACAAACATGAAAAGGATGAATAGCAATTGGAAACATCTGGAAAGTATTGACCAGGACAGAGTTGGATAGAGAATGCTGGTAGACAACCTATAATCATCCAGTAATCTTTATTTGGCCGTAGGGTCCTTTACTTTGTAAGAAATATAAAAAACGTAAGATTACTTTGAATATAAAATGAAGGGAAACTTGTGAATTTTTACAACCTAGAAAGGGATTCTATTTGAATTAATTTTTCTGATAGTATTCCGACTTATTTAGTTTATATTCATTGTAGAACGATGGAACACTTGACGAAGCTGACAACTAAACACACTTAAACATTTAAATATTGAAATTTGATTGTATGTTGACAAGTGAAATTTGCAAAGGTTGATTTTTTTAATTTCCAAACTCTAAGCGTAAACTTCATTCTGAATTTTTTCAGCGGAATAACAACTTGTATATCAACGTGTACAACAATACAGACAGTATTTTTAAATCAACCAGACTGATTAATTGTAGAACTCCTCAGCAGTGCGCATCCACGACCTCGCCTCGCGACATTTGGACCCAGGACCTACTAGTCCCGCGCCAGAGCACTTAACCGATAGACCACTGAGCCGGCATCCATGGTGTTAATTCTGATAATAATAATAATAATAATAATATGCTCAACAGTGACTGACTTCGAGAGATAAATCCAGGAGTTCTAGTGAGAAGCAGTAACCAGTGGAGTTCAAACCACGTCTGTTGTGAGATATTAACTCAATGAAGACAATTGGTGAACGGTTGATCAACTTCGTTGATTGGTTGAAGTTAGACATTAACACCATGGATGCCAGCACAGTGGTCTATCGGTTAACTGCTCTGGCGCGAGACTGGTAGGTTCTCGGTTCGATTCTCGCGAGGCGAGGTCGTGGATGCGCACTGCTGAGGAGTTCTATAATAGGATGAAACGGCCGTCCAGTGCTTCCAGGTTTTTCCTGGTGGTCTAGATTCAACTGACTCACGCTTTCAACTACGAAAATACTAAACCTTCACAAAACCCCCTTTCTGATAATAATGATTAATTGTACGCATAAATGTAATAAACAATTATTTTATACATGTTTTTATACATTAAAAATGAGTCGACAGAAAATAAAACGAAATTTTTCTAAAAAAAAATAAACTTACAGGTTGTGAGTTTGTTTGAAATTTCTCTGTTGTTTGATCAAATGATGACATAGGAAATCCTTCAGTTAGTGTTTGCAAATTTTTACGATTATTATCTAAAGAATATCTTAAACTATTACTTTTTGCATTCATACTATTACTAGGCTTTAATTGTTCATAAGATGTTGATTCAAAGGATGATGATAATGGATTTTCTTCACATTTATTTTGTATTCCTACCTGTTCTTTTTGTTTCGTATTCATTAATACAGTATTATTAGTATTAGCACTGTAAATGACAGCAGCAGCTTTAACCACTTCATATGCATCAGATGATAGAGCTACAAGTTCATTTTCACGTGTTATTACCATTCCATCTAAACTACCAGTAGATGTAGTTCGTTGACGTGATTTTTCTTCAATTATACGAGCCATAATAGAACCTCTGAAATTAAAATTAAAAGATTACAATTTATATGTTAGAGAGAATTAAAGTCAAATATTAATGATAACACTTTCATTTATTAATTTAAATACATTGTTATTGTGAAAATAAAATTACTTTGAAAATTTCTACCAATTAATATCCAATTATAATCTGCAAATAAGATAGATCGTACAATAATTAATAGTACTATATAACTATTATGATTAAAAGAGACTATTAAAGTATAATCATTACATCATCTAACTGACTGTTATTCAGATGTCAACACTTTATATAAAACTTCAATGAAAATAATATGAAAGTTCATTACATTTTTTCCTTAGTTTTAATAGTGTATGTATTATACAACATCTAGAATAAGATTGTACTTAGAATAAACGTACAATGTACAAAGTGTGAAATAGGCTAAAATCTTAATTTGGTTTTAGTTTGCTTTCAACAGACAATAGAAGAAGGTTTTTTAAGGAAACAGTCATTAGATAGTACATAAAACCCATTCTAGACAATAAATAAACTTTAATTAACAACAAAAAACATATATTGGGTGCGTAAACACACAAATATATACGTAGTGTTTATTGAAACATGAAAATAAATGTTTATTGTAAGTCATGTGGTAGTTGAGTTATCAACTATATAACACCACGGCTTGAACTAGAGTTTTTTTCCTAAATGTTAAACTTTTTAGTAACAAGAAAGGATTACAACGAATTTGACAATACATAAGCAGTCTGTAGACATCATTTTTATAAACTTAATCACTGAATACAGCGAAAAAAAAATAACTCAGATATTGACTACGAATTTTAGAAATGTTTTTGTGATAAATTTCCATGGTTTACGTACGTTGAGACATGTAGATAGATATGCTTAAACAACACCTACTTACTAGCACAGTAGCAAATTGGAAATAGACCACATGGGAGCAAAACAAGAAATGTGATTGGTTTACCATTTCACTAACCAATGATCGAATTGATGTATGGAAATGCAGACTCCATATTTCATATCTGCAAAGCACCTGTGATCTATGAATAGTCATTCTACATCAGTTAGTCAGTAATAAAAAACATTGAATCTAGAGAATATGTGCATTTGTTCAAGTTCTCACTCCATATCATGACAGTGAGATCAAATTATGAAGGAAAAATTAGATATAAACCATATGATTTTAGAAGAAATAATAAATTCACGAAGTAAAAAGTATGAGATAACTTTATAAGTTAAGATTAACGGAAATGTAAAAAGCGAATCCATCTGGTCCACTGTAGTCGATTCTAAACCTGGTCATCCCAGTCTCCGACCATCGGTTACGAGAATCATCCAGAGCTCTACAAGATATTCTGCCCCCAAAATAACAGTCTATCAGTCAATGACTTCATGGACGAAAATCACATCTTGGTTTGGCCGCCTCTAGCTTTCTTCTAAGTACTTTATAAACCGGCAAAACATCCTGTCTATATTTGCACTATACTACTCTATCAAGAACATGGTATAATTCCATGCTTTTCATCGATTAATTTCATTCGCTCTTCTGTTGTGCTGTTTTCTTGTGTTTAATTATTAACTGTTGACAGCTATATTTTTACCCTTTCACTGAATCTTTTTTTCCTGTTTCCTCATATGAAACGTGATAACTTGAAGCAATACACATTTGTACATGATTCTATGGTCTTCATACTTGTCTGTCTGAAAGATGGTGAAAGTTAATGACATTTTACATTTCTTGATCATATAAAACACCCTCAAAAAGCCTTCAGTATGAACTAACAAACATTTAGTTAGGTATCAATTAAGTAGAAGTGATATTCTTTCAAGTTGAATATCAGACAAGAATTCTAATTTTGCGTGATCGAAATCATAAGAATATAATTAAAGAAGCACACTTACCGTTGAATTGTAATTTTTCTTGCGGGATGATGTTTTGGCTTACGACTAGATAGTAAAGAATTAAATTTGTACTTTTTTTGTTTGATTTGTTTCTTCGCCATTTGTTTTAATAATCTAACAGCTCTTATTCTTTCATGTACACTCACAGGACGAAATAACGCTATACCAACCTGTCGTTAAATATAACATATTTTTTTAATCAAAAAGAGGTTGAAATAAATAAGTAAAGTACGTAGTGAAAAATCACTATTTATCAAATCAATAAACACCCAGCAATGTTAATGTTAATTGTCAAAATAATAACAAAAATCCCACTAGACAACTTGCCTGCATTAAAAATGTAGGGGTTATAGGAAGAATACCCTACTCAATAAGAGTATATTACTTTGAAAGAATTTCACAAATTATAAAACACCAATTTTGTAACATTGAATTATTGCAATACGAGATTTTAGTACACTTTTCTGAAAACTGATATTGTGGTGCATGCTACTTATGTTGACAGATATAAGTAATATTTAACACAAATCAGAAGTGGAATAGCAGCAGAAGATTGAATTGAAGACAACAAGAACGTAAGCAGAGAGTAAGTTTAATAACAACAGGAATGAAGGAAAGATGAAGTTTGCAGGAGACAACTGATAGATGTGCGAATTATGTATTTAATATATGGTCTTCATATTTTACGAAGACACTATTAAATAAGTCGGTTATCCCCACCAAGTCTTCGTTCACAACAACATTATTTCCCTGGACGATAGACAATGAATGCCATGTAATTGAGTAACACATTCAAATGCTTAATAGATACTTCTATACGATCAGTTTCTAATTATTACTCGGACATCAAATCGTCTCTTAGGAGACTACCAAGCAATTAAAGTAGGTAATAAAAACAAATAATATATTTCAGAGAGTACAGCTTCTATCACCGAATCTTACAAACAAGTAAATGTTCTTGTAAGGATACCTAAAACGCTAAGCAGAATCAAACGTATGCAATACTGAACTGCTTTTGATGGAGTTTTGTTCTCCGAACTGGAACAAAACTCCACCAAAATCATCCACCTGAGCTACAAATCTTTTCCACCAATACTGAACTGTACTAAACCAAGACGAGAACAGTTGAAAACTTTTTCAATATTTAGTTATTTGGGGGTGATAAAACTAACTTTATATTTGCTGAAAGGGATACTTAGAATTATTTTGATTTGTAGGTAGTACTGGTTACGAACTGGAATCATTTGGGATGTCACAGCAACTTGGGATCGCCAGATATTTGTTTTGTGTTAATGTAAAAATAACCAGTCATGGGCATCCATTGCCCCAGCCCCAAGGATCGAATCCTACATAAACAACTAAACCAAAATACAATCCACCAGTTACTAGTATACTTCTGTGGTAAGGATCCTCTACAAGTTCTAAAATAAAACGTTGTTACTAGTGTAATTCCACTGTTATCAACTAATGACATTGGACCATTGTAACACTACCTACCTACCATCGGATTTCAAAACAGTAGTCTGGAGTTCGAAGGGTTCGTTATGTAACATGAAAACCTTAGGTCTGATCCTGAAAAAGTCATGTTCGCGTTTAGCTGAAGATTTTCATACAACGATGGAACAGCGAACCCGTGATCACTGGTTTTCAATGATATGTTAGCTGATGTCGATCCGTGATTCAAACCAGTTACATGGTGATTCCGAAATATTTTGTTTTTTTCGAAACCTATTCTAATTTATGAGATCAATCAAGAAAAAAATTGGGGTGTGATAATGAATGAAACGGACATTTGAATAAAGAGAACCACTGATAAACTATATATATATAAGCATTGTCACGATATATGCCTCAAGTTGTCAAACGCAATAGTAGTACTGAGATGTTATTCCATTACAAAACACTTCAGATGTTCCTACTACTATTAATATTTTGTAACCACAATGTTTTGGTCATTAGAAATACCATGTACATCTACTAGTGGTTTGATTTGTAGTTACTTTAAATTTACTCTGCCAGCAGATATTCTGCATCAATTCAATGCACTATGAAATCAAAAAAATTGAATATAAAAATAAAATGTTAATTGCTGTAGGACTTTTATAGTCCTCATAGTGTAGTTACATAAGGTAAACCAATTCGTTTTGATAACATCACGGGCTTATTACGGAACGGCATATGCACCGATAACTCTAATAACAGTTGAGTCAACATATCCAACAGCTCTACTCGCATAGAACCATCTAGATACTCTGAAAGATGAATCTTGTTAAGATATATAGGAGATCAAAGATGACTGAGAAATAAGTAATCAAATACAACTGAAATATTCTGAAAAATAATGAACAGAATCGATGAAACTGAAGTGAAGTTGACTGGGCAAAAATCAATTTAAATCGATGACAAATTAGGATTGATTTTCCTTCTCCTACATTTGGGACAAAGTATCCCAACAGCGTTACTGATAATTCTGAAAAAATCTATTGCTATCGGGCGTCCTAAACTTTATTCACTGATTATATGACTTGAAACTTGATCAAAAGACTTCCTACCCGGTCTTTCAAGGTAAATAGATTGAGCTTAGGTTAACATTAGTTTCCCCTTTATTGAGCTCCTGATGGCAAAGTACATGCTTAGGTTGTTGGAATTCTATACTAGCTGTCTTGGAAGCATTTGCTGCACAAACTGGGACTACGGAATAAATAATTTTGAGATAGAGCTTAGATTACCAATTCAACATGGTAAATCAGTCAATGAGAAGTTCATGAAACTAATAAGTGTTAGTTCTAGAAGTACCAGCAGGTGCATACTTTCTGTCTGACGAAAATGTGATAATTACGCCCAATGATTAAATAACTAAAATTGTATGGTTCGAAACCGGTTACTGTGTCAAAAATATGTTCATTACTTATGTTTCATCGAATATTGGGATCTAATATGATTTCATATATTTTATTTCACTAGTACACACAATATTTTCAGAGTATGCTTCCCTTAATCAGCAACCCAATAATTATTTCAACGCTTTTGGTATTCCTTCATATGATGAATGGAGAATTGAGTTGATACCCATTAACCAACGGTCATAAGTTATTTAAGAACTGCCTAGGTTTTGGAGCAGACAGCAAAATTGCGAAAGCTATTGAAATCCCTTTAAACATTATATCTTAAAATGAAGAAAACCACATCATTCCATAGACCTGATAAAAATGTCTGGAGTTCTCGTCAGAAGTAAATATCTTCCACAAACAAATATAAATCTAAATAAAATAAATAACTGGAGAACGATATATATATATGCGATTTTTTATAGTACTCATTAATCACAATAAATAATATCGGTCTAGTCTCAAATGGTAACTTAATTTTGTTAATTACAGAGTAAGATATAACAGCAAGTGTATTTTACACAGTAAAATACTTAATTTCGAATTATCTAATGAAGTCTCCAGGATCTTATTAAACCCAGATGTATTTTTAAATACTAAACCAAAGCAACAACCCCAAAGAAATATATCATTGAAGCTTCGAACCTGTAATAATTTTTTATATGATATCCCAGATGAGTGATATTTTGCATCTACATTAAGGAGATAAGTATTTTTGATAAAACAGCTATGCTTACCTGATGGGTGCTAAAAAGAACTATGTTGGATAGGTACGTAAGTTGTAGTTCTCTAAAGTGATAACAAGTGTCGTTTTAGGAAACCTTATATACTCATAAATGTATGCGTTACCCTAAGAAAGACTACATTTAATGAATCATGGACACTACAAAAAATGTAAAACTTACTAATGTTTGACTAAACAATCCACTAATGAGAATGAGACTACCACGCCATGAAAAATGAACTGCTAAATAAGGTGTAATAATAGCCATTAAACCGGCACCCAAACATCCACCACACATGACAATGCCAACAATGAAAGCCCGATGTTCTTCAAACCAGTGTCCGATAACTGTAATTGCCGGTAAATAAACTAGACTACAACCGATTCCTGGGAAATAAAGATAACAATAAAAATAATCGATAAAGCTAAAACCCAACAAGTTTATGTATACCTTTAGAAACTTGGTATTTTCTGCTTTTCCACTTTAAACAAATCAAAATATACATATATATACATTCAATCTACTTCATGAGACCATAAATCTGTTATGTAGTTAATTACCTCCAAATATCGTATGATTGTACATTTTAGTCATGTTTATTTTTTTCCACACTTATTAACTAAGAAAAAAGCTTTGTTCCAATAAACAGACAGATCAGCTAACATAGCGCAACTATTATAAAAACAGAACAATTCTCTTTGTTACTTTTCTAAAAGTATCCCATATGAGTCAGGCTATGAATTTATTCCTTGTTTACTAGCACGTTGAAATTACTAAATGGAAATGGTTAAGGATTCAAGTTTAGGCGAAATATCCAATATATACCATAGTTTAAGGAAAAAACTTCATTGTGATCCCACAAATATAATCTTCGACTGTATAAACTGTACAAAAACTATAAAACATAACATAACATCAAAGCATACATAAGAACCATCAAGGAATTTTAGGTGCTGCAGATATCTTGGAATAAAGTCAATTAAAATCAACTAAAGTATAAATAGTGATCTACTTTAGTTCTACTCCGAAATATAAAACAATAAATGATGGAACCATTTAAACCATCTCTACTCAAGAAACAGATGACTAATAAATTTGGGACATAGTGAACTCTGCTGGTTATCCCTACAATATATCAATGATAAAAGTCTATCAGAAATAAAGGTTTTTAAACTGCAGCCTCTGTAGCTCATCTGTCATATTGCCAGACCGGTAGTTCATATTCAAACACCACACGTTTCTCATCATTCCTGTATATTTTTTACATCTTAAACAAACACTGGAGAAAAAAGTAAACGCTACAATCTCAAGTAATTCACTTACCACCAATTATACCGAATACAACGATAAATGTAACCAAATCATAAATGAATAAAGCACTTATTAGAAAGCATAATGAGGTAATGACTGCACCAACTGATGCAACTATACGATACCCAAAACGATTTACTAGAGCACTTGTAAACGGACCTAATACAAAAAACGAGAAATAATTGCATAAAAAAGCTAGTCGCAAATATTGATATACAACCAAAAAACTAAAATAAATTTTTTTCACCTAATCCTAATGATCATCTAAAAGGTATTACTAAGTACAGCCTTACAACATTGATATACGATAGCTAGAGATAGGATTTTATACAAAATAAATGGATCTTATGTGAGAATCTGTGGTGTTTGCATGAACTAATGATTCCTTTGTACTAGGTGTCTACCTGATCTCTAATTCCAAATACAATACCTAACCTAGTTCTGTCTACTTAGATTGCATTATTTCACGAGTTCCTAGTTCGTACAGTAATTTAAACACTTTTAATTATCACGGTATCATAAATATTAAATAAAACTAGAACTCATAAACGACTGTTGAACAACAAAAAGCAGATTAACAAATTGAACATTCTAAAATTTTATCTATTTTTTTTTTAAAAACTGCAAAGTTTATATGTTCCCCTTAAGCAGCCGTTATTGAAACCAGACATCTCGAATGAAGAAAATACTTTCATACAATGGGTACTCATAGATTGCAAAAATATCTCAATTATTCTAACTACTTCAAATGTTCTTTATGGATTTATTGGTTACCAATATCCAGATTTATGAAATTAAATGCTACTTTTTATTAAACGTGTATATATCAACAATGCTTACTGTTATAATTAGAAACTATAGGCCGTTAAAGATTTTTAAAAACGTTATCTGTTTTAATAATGCCGACTTAAAACAACAGTCTTAAAAAAAGTTCCATCTCTATTTTCAAATATCTTAGCTGTAATTCATAGTTGTAACCTCCATGTCGAATTACATTTTCGGTTTTAGTACCTTTACAATCCAAATACTTATGGAATAAATCCATAAGAATCTACTTGGATTTTTTATTCGAAACTGTGTCATTTCAACAGTGGATTCAAACATAAATTATAGATTAACCATACAGCTTATCATTCTATCTAAAGCTATCCGAATGCGAGGCTAGCCGAAATAAAAGTTCTCTAAGTGTGTCATAACTCACTCTTAGGTGACCGCAGAGTGAATAAGTAGAAGATTAGGGGTAGAATAATAGGCATGGAAGACAAGTTGAAAGAAAACTAGAAATATTCTTTGCTTAATTCTTAGGTTGAGTACTTCCAATCAACAGTGAAAGTAAGATATTTATATTGAGACTGAAACTTACAACTTATTTCACACAACCGTAACCGTCATTACTGGCGTCTTTTAGCCATCTTCGACGAAAAACGACCAACTTATTACTTCCATCTGAACCTAATTACATATAAACAGCCCATATGGTTGGTGCTTTGACTAAATAAAGGGTCAAAATCCTATTAAGATAACGACAGAGAAATGTCTGACAACTATGGTCATCAAGATCATATTCACGTCACACTCAAACGAAGCTCGGGTTTCTTGGCTAGGCCAGAGTTCAATGGTGGACGAACTTCTGAGTTGGATACATGAAGTGATGTCTATCACAGTTACCCAATCTCCCTTTTTCTACACTATATACTTCAATCCAGATCTTTCTTCCCTTAAAATAAATACACCTGGAAACCCTGGTTATATCAAAGTTAGTAAACTACAGTTTTGTTTGAAGACACTAACTACATCGTCTTCTAAATGTTTTGAGTGGTAATACAAGAATATTTCGAATGAGTTAATTTTCTTTGAAATTAAAATGATCCATCAGATTTTGGCTGTTTCAATAGTCAATGTAATTCTGTGGAGTGAAGTAGCTGACAGTGTTAACCAGTCTACGTACCTTGGTAATCTTATCAACCCCGACGACATGTCACTGATGAAATCCCGGGATTGTACAAAAACATCACACAAGATCTGCATAAACTAAACAAAGAATTATATAACTATTTGATTGAGGGGATTGGTCTATGAAATCAAAATTTATGTTTAAGTTGCCAATGTGTGGTATTTTATTCATATCATTACTTGCATATAGTAGAATCATAGAGAAGGTAATGCTAACGTCACGCATTCAAGGTTACAAATAGGCTGTTTAGCCTGTAAATTTTTGCTGACTGATGTGCTTAAGACAAAAGTTATACATAACAACCCGACGATCTATTATATTGCTTTATGATGGCTTGCATGGAAAAAACTAGGGAAAAAGTGGCATCATATTATGAAAGCATTAGGTGTGCGAGAGTAGTGAAAGAAAATGAAAGCCTATTATTATTATTATTATTATTATTATTAATGGCTTTGGTTCACCATATATTGTAGTCTATGATCAAAAATAACTTCAAATATTTTTATATTAGTTGCAATTACTATAATCACTCTTCAATTAACAAGCTTTTAACGTGCCATCTATTGCATACTTTTATCAATTCTTATTTACCCATTTCCTTAGTTTTCCATTGATGTTTCCATTACTCTCTTCACAATTTGTCCCTCATCTTTTCAATTTCATCGAACATTACTGCTGATAATAATAGTACTTCATGTCCAATAAGGTGATTATTATGTCATAAGCATTAAGGTGAGAAATTAAAAAAGTGTGAGGCTACTTAACTTAAACTGATGCAAACGAAACTCAACTTGCTAACAACTAATCACTAAAATGGAAGATAATCAATGGAGTAATGAACAGATATTAACGAAGATAACAAATATGTGCCACAAGACAAATCACTGGACACATGGACTCCATACATTAGCTCAAAAGTTATAGTACGGACATTTTATAATTGGCCTTTTGTAGTGTAAAATTGTTTGAAATAATCCAGTGCAGTTTCCCCTAAAAAAATCACAGACGTTTACCTACCGAATAAAAAATACATCCCACACAGTAGTGCTCCGGGCAAGCTTAACAAAGCTAAAGATGGCTTTCTTTGTGATTCATTCGGGTCAGATGGATTTATTCTGAATTGTCCTTCGTGAATCATTTCATTAATGTGTAGACCAAAAGTGAAGCACACACCATCCACAGCGAAAATGCATAGAAAGCTCCCTAGTGCAACAAGCCAACCCCAACCACCATTTGGAGCTGGTTCGCGTAAGAAATCTAAGAGTGAAAAAATAATTGTTGATACGAAGTGATACTAGTACAGAAAAATGTAAGTGAACGGTGCTGTATGTAATCAATACACTCCAGACCGTTATTATCAAATGTTGATAAGGCATCTATTCTACTGAGATAAGAAGACTCTTAGTATTAGCGATGGTCTGGGAGTTAGATGGCATGATAAAAAACTATATTTAACGACAAGTGGAACGGTGGAAGTGGTACATCTTGAACCAACCCAGATAACCAGAAGAAGCGACTACTCGTCAGTGCCTTATATTCAGCTGATGCCAAGATATTTGACTGTATGAACCCGTTAATAATGTTATACACTAGAAACAGCCTTTAGAAAACAATGTGACGTTATTTTGCATGCAACATACGAGTCTGTTGCCTAATATTTATTCACATACCCATTCAGTTGGTTAGCAGTTCTGTATTCTGAAACTCAATCAGACTGGCTTGAAGACCGGTCCTCCGAGTAAATCCTCGGTTATGGAATAGCAATAATATCAGTATTCTACTATTTGATGCAAGTAACGTTTTTGCAATGAACAAGAATGAATGTTCAAATATATATATATATATATATATATATATATATATATATATTGTCTTTGCACTAGCTTTTGAAGTGAGTTTACGAACTGCATAAAAAATGTTGAGATATTGATCTGTTGTTCTTTGTATTAGCCGATGCAGTTTGCAAAGATTGTAAGAGAAATGTCTGAAATGTCATTTAACGTCGATCATTTAAAAAAGTTAACTGTTTTCTTAAAATCCAGGGTAACATGTCTAAAAAATGACTGAAATAAGATCGGTCACTGTACATTATAACGTAGATAGTAACACCATATCTTGGTTAGTTATCTAGCAATTTATGAATCTTAACTAGTGAACTAGCTTAAGTATATAAATGCATGGAGCAGTGGCTTAGTGGTTAAGGTGCTGGACTTTTAACAAAAACACGTCTTTACTTCGAAGCCGATTCCACCCACTTCTGTTTAGATATAATTATCCCTAACATTTATGAACTGTGTCTCAAGGTCAAGCACATGAACCAGTACTTGATGAGGTATTATTTAAGCCTACTTTCGCAAAGTTTATTGATGAAGTAGATGGATATAGTAATGGAAGTTCGAATGCAGTAAGAACGGTATATGAAATCCTCCAGCAAATTTTGACCTACGACACAGTTTAGTGTCATGACCAAGTTCTCAGTATCAGTACGTTATGACCGAAAAAAATTGTAGACATCGTTGAAAGTATTTAAGTGCTTAAACAGACTACAATGCGTTAGGATTTTACAACAGAAAACTAAATTCACAGTGATAATTGATAAGTAGACGATTAATATCCTACTTTTTGGCTTTATTGACCATAGTATTCGGTAAAACACATGATCCCATAGTACCATAAAATCCCACAAGAAACATTAAAAACACAAAAACTGAAAGTGTAGAGCAAACCTTCATTTATTTCATATCCTTCTTTATCTGCGATGTCAGATTGAATATTTCTAGTTGGCTCACTAGGTGGTTTAAGATTTTCAACAGGACTATCAGTGGTTCTTGATGGTTGGTTAAATTGGGGATCAAAATTTGTAGATAATTGAGCTGATGTCTCACCAGGAAAATTAACTATTTCTCGAACACATGATGGTTGTAAGTGTAAATCAGCTACAACCGGTTGTGAGTACAAAATGGGTTTTTGTTTGCAGTAATCAATTGAAATAGATTTTACAGGTTCATTAGACGATATGCTGATATGTTTTGTTTGATTAACAGGCGGAATGATGGAATTATGTATCGCATCAGCAATACCGTAAGTATCATCACTTCCAATATAGAACTGTTGAATAGGCAGAGTTGGAGCTGAACTTTCTCGGTGAACACACAACATAGTCTTCAAAAATAATCTTCAAGAGATTTCATGCTAGTTATACGCTAAAATAGTATAATGTAACAATGTTATTTGTTTACATAAATAATTAAAACAATCAATATATAAGTCTCACCGAAACTCCTAATTGTAAGCCATACAGGAACTTTCAGGAGCTACAAAGACAACTAGATGACTATTCAAACCTTAAACCTGTTTCCCATAACTAGGAGAACCATCAGGATAAGATACTAAAACAAGCAAGGATGGGTGATAAGTAAATACTAAATAGTGTGAAAGCACATACCAATGAAGAGTGATATTGATATGAAGGGCCAATAAGCGGCCCAATGAGAAAGGTCAATCGATGACAATCAGAAGTGACCTAAAGGTATGATAATTTGTAGAAACCTCGATTTCAAGGCAGTAAGTAACAAGCAATGCAAAACCTAGTATAAATATACATTGGCCCAAATTTCCAAAACACATTAGTACAGAGATAAAACTATAAAAACGAGTAGAATAGTACAGAAACCAGTAACAGCAAGAAAAAACAGAGGATATGACTCAAGAAAATATGGAGAATTTCCACAGTACTTAAAGCATAAAATAGTCTCCAGTCTCATACATTTGAGCTATCACGACTGATTCTCAGTTATGCCATCCAACATCTATAACGATCGATCACGATAATAGCGCGGAAGTCAGTGGTAGAATAATGGGCATCTCTTGGTTAGACCGCTCTCGGTTTCACTCACCAGGGTACTTGACAAATAACTCGATATTCCCAAGAGCATGTGAAACACTTAATGAGGTTTAGTGTAACACAAATATAATTATGCCTACATTATATAACGAAGAGCTGAGATTTTTATTCAATCCTATAAGTATTATTTAAGACACTTAAGCATCTTGGAGGTATCACTGGCAAGAGCAGAATACTTCATCAAAAGAGAGAATAATGGTTCCTAAATTGGAAACTACATAAAATGAGGGAAAATTATTTTAACCCAAATGATAAATTGAAACGTATTCTAAAACGAAAATTCGATATTCAAAAAAATTCTGAATAGTTTGGGATTTGGGAGTAACATTCTGATGTAATTTGAAGCTACTGAGAAAAAGATTAAAATCTTAGTCTACATAAAAGTAGATGGTTGAAAACCCACCACGGTAACACAAGAGTAAGGGCAAACTGTAGTGACCAGAAAGAAATCCAACACTGCAGTGGCGGCATAAATGCAGAAAAAACCGATTTGACACCTTCCATTAACGAGAAAAGCAGTTTACTCACGTAAAAGCAAAAACAACTACTTGGAATCAAAATGTGCGCACCTTTGCTAATAGACGAGTACATTTAGCCCGTATTACTCTGTTTAAACACTTAATATTCAGTATTCAGTATTAAGAACAGTAGGTCGTCTGCCTGTATAATTCCTCAAAATTGTTTTAAAGTGTGTACCTAGTTTTGCTTTACAGTCATTCACTGATAGAGCTTATGCCACCCGTTCAAATAGACTCTAGGACCCTAACAACCGTTTGAGGAAATGTAGTCTCATTCTGAGTTTGTACAATTGAAGTTTTTGAGTCGCCAAGAAATAACTTCGGAATTTGCTGGTTCTTGAGTAAGAGATAATTAGAATTGTTGACACTTAGTATATTGTTTAAGAACCAGGATGGGATAGTAAGATTAGCTCACTTTCTACGACAAGATAAGTGAAAAACAACCGATCATTTTATATGCTAGTAGCAGGAAATTTCTATGAAATTCTCTACCAAATAATACCTAATTATTCTACATGATCAAAAGCGTCTGTATTTCTAACTAGATAAGGACTAGCCACTTGTATACAATATTCAACATGGGGTCTTAGGTCGTTCGGACATAGAATTTGAAACATGTCTTTGTCAGAACACTTGAGAGTTCTTATAAGTGACCAAAACATGTGAAATCTTTGGGAAGCTATTTCAGTACAGTATGAAGATGCTTTCAAATCACAACTCATAACCAATAGTTCATATCTCCTCGAAAATTTTCTCACGCGTAGCCGTTCGGGTTTTGAAGTATAGTCGACATAATCGATTATCTATTTTAGAAATTCCCTACACGCGTAATCGCCAATGGAGATGGTGAACCCACAATACTAAGATATAAATCACAGTTCCTCTTAGCTTATGTAGAAATCATACACTACCTCATACACTCGTATCACCCTATCGTAGCGCGTAAGTAGGGTGATGACAAACAAATAGACAGAACATTTCTGAAGTACTTCAATCTACTCGATGGAATGTGTTAAATGTGTACATCACTTTCGATCATGATCGACCTTAACATGACCTTGGGAAATGTTTTGGTAAATCAGGATGTAGTAGCTCTTCTAACGTTCGAAACAACTTGAACGAAGGATTAAACTTTTGTGTGGTCGCTATATTAGAGGAACAAATATAAAGCCAAACGATCACAAATGTAATAACTCAGTGACCAAGTGCTAAAGTAAATATTTACATGAAAAGCAAAAATACAGCCTCCTAAAAAATTTCCAGGTCTATACAGTGATCGAAGGCCGAAAATTGAGAACTAAGTCAATACGTTTCGAAGGTGAGAAATCAACCACAAAGAAAGAATAAAATGAAAGTCGCATAACCACCCAAGCACTTGTTTTTAATTTGCTGAATGGAGGTTTGGGCCGGCGCTAAGTGCATATATCTTTGCTACTACCATAATAAAACTTATCACAAAATTGTAGATTTGCCATGAGCTGACTACCTTGTCTAGAACACTCTACGCAGAAGCCCCATCACTGTATATAGTTAATTGTCCCACCACGACAGTCACTTATATGATGTTTAGAGCATCTGAAGACGGAGCTACGATATCCTACTAGCAACAAGCGCTGGAACTTCAAACGGTTGAATGTGTTAGCTTTACAGGACTATCTACAACAGGTGCATTGGGATGTTCACCCTCAACTTGAAGTGGATGCTCATTGGGATTTTTTACTGCACACGATCTTATGTGCTACTGAGCATTCAGTTCCTAAAATGGTCCCAAAAAGCTACAAGCAACCTGCAATCATCAAGAACCGCACTCGTCGTTTGCTAAGCCGCAAAAGGCACTGTTGGGCTGAATATAAACGAACTGATAACAACGGCGCGTACAGGCAATACAAACATATAAGGAACATATGCACAAAGGCAATAAGACAAGACAGGCTTCAGTTTCAGACCAAGCTTATCGATAGATTCGTCTCCAATCCGAAAAGCTTGTTCAGTTATGCAGCTTCTCTTCGACAAGGCAAAACTGGAGTTTCCCAACTGCTTGGTCCTAATGGCCCGACCAACAACGACAGTAATGCCGCTAACCTTTTGGCTGAACATTACTCCCGGACATTCCAGCTGACCCACACCAACCATACTGACGAAAGCTTCACCTACACCTGTACAGGACTTTCCGAAGTGGACCTGAGTGCTGACTTGGTGCTCCGTAAACTGCAGAACCTAAGAAAAGACACTTCTCCTGGTCCGGACATGGTTCATTCCGCTGTATTGAGGGAAGCAGCTTCAATCCTGGCGACACCACTTAGCGTGATGTTTGCACACTCGCTAAGCAGAGGCAAACTACCGGAAATATGGAAGCTGGCTCACATCACACCAGTTTTCAAAGGAGGTCGACTCAGTGAACCCTCAAGCTACCGACCAGTGGCTCTTCTCTCCATACCTTCAAAAATTATTTAATCCCTAGTATACGACGGTATACTAGAACACTTATCATCCTCAAAGTTCTTCTCGCCTCAACAGCATGGTTTCAGAAAAGGTCATTCTTGTATGACCAACCTGCTGACTGCGGTGGATAGATGGACAACCATCCTTGATCGCAAGGGGAAGGTTGACGTCATCTACCTGGACTTCTCAAAAGCTTTTGATAGGGTCAGCCATGCATGTCTTATCAAGAAGCTTGGACGATTGAGTATAAAACCCCCTTTGATTGATTGGCTCTCTTCATTTTTAGAAAACCGACACTTTAAGGTCAGGGTTAACTTCACTCTTTCTCAGGCTATGGAATGTCCTAGTGGGGTCCCCCAGGGTTCAATACTAGGACCTCTTCTCTTCTTGATTTATATTAACGATCTTCCTCAACAAGTTTCATCTGACTTATTGCTTTTTGCTGATGATGTGAAACTTTGGAGAGAGATACGTAATCATAATGATATACTAGTTCTTCAGGAGGATCTGACTCGACTTCAAAGTTGTGCAGACGACAACGGACTTACCTTCAACACTTCAAAGTGCAAGGTAGTCCATCTGAGATATGTTGCAGACTAAAGTTATAACTTAGGTAACTCCCCTCTAGAAGTTTCCCAAGTTGAAAAAGATTTAGGAGTGTTGGTACCCTATGACCTGAAATCGTATGCGAAATGTGACAAAAACGCCTCTCAAGCTAACCTTGCACTGGTAACATTGAAGCGCATTTTTGGCCAGTTTGACGGTAGAACCTTCCACATAATCTTCAACAGTTTTATTCGTCCCCACTTAGAGTACGGAAACATAGTATTTCCTCCCTCCCTCCAAAAGGATAAGGTCACTCTGGAACGTATACAACGTCGAGTCACGAAATCAGCTCAGGGTCTCAAATTCAAACCTTATGAAGAGCGCCTCAAATCACTTAACCTTTACCCGTTAGAGTATAAGCGTCTTAGAGGTGATCTTCTTATGACTTATAGTATCCTTAATACTTCTGGTCATCCCCTTAAACAACTTCTTAAGCTTAGTCATAACACTAACCTCAGAGGTAACACCCAGAAATTGGAGACCCTACATGGAAGAACAGACTGCAGACACAACTTCTACTCCGTTAGAGTTGTCAAGTGCTGGAATTCGCTGCCGACTGGGCTAGTCCAAGCGACCTCCCAGGAGTCCTTTAAGAGAAAACCTGACTTATTCTTAAGGACTAAGGATAACATATTATTATGATTTACCAAATTCTTTTTTTCCCTCTATTATCGTTCATATACCTAGGTTCTTGCCTGGAGGTATTGGTGATCCACTGCTACCAGACACGGAAGCCCGTTAAGCGAAAGCTTCTTCTATTCCGTCCTCAACCATTTGAACCATTTGAACCTAGGCTACGAATAGAAAGTGTAAAGGGATAAGTCATGTATAGTGACAACATGTTTATGATGATGATTGTTCCCACAATGATCGATTTTAATTACAATAAATAAACAAATCGATAAGAGGTATAAAAAAGTTACCAAACGCACCAAAAAAATAAGTATTATTCTGGATAGATCAAGTAAAAATCCGTTCAAAAGATGATAGTTTGTTGCTTTAGAAAACAAAGTGTTTCCATTTCTGGGAAAGTGCCTCAATTCACAACCAAAATGCACGATCTCAGCCAAATCAAGAAACACAATCAAAGGGGGAACAGTTAATATGGCTGCTTCCAAGATAAAATATCAACTATAACAACATTGGTACGGTGCAGGAAGAAACATAGAAACTCAGTGAAAGCAAGAGAAAAAAATGAGAAAACTATTATAAATCAAACAAAACAATCTCAAATTGCATCAAAAAGACTAACAAAATGTACACTTAAAGGAGCCAATGAGAAAAAGTTGCAAATGTATACGTGGAGGGATTTTCACTCACAAAACCTTCAAATGGATCTTACACCACATATAGTCAATGTGAGTCGGTTGTTACCGAGTTTATTTGAGGTGGCTTCATATCAAACTTTGTGTAGACAAAGCGAGTACTGTTCGATGTGTTCCGAACTAGTTTTCTAACAAACGTTTTTGCAGCATTTACCATTGAAATGGCCAGGTTAGCAAGCTGCTTGCGTCCGAGTACCACTGCTGGCAAAGCTATATGCAACCGTTTTTGCTGAACCATTTGAAAGTCTCAGGAGTCGAATTCGTGCAAACGTCGTGGTATCAGCTTTTGCACTCATCGCACTGCATACCGTTTTCAACGAGTTATCGACAGCCCGAATGTTGGCGACTGCTTTTCCAACACTGTCCAATCATCCATCCGACGTTTTCAGATACAAATTGGACATTATAATACCCAGAGAAAAGAGTAATCACTGACCAAAAAATTGGAAAGAATGTAAATTGTTCGGACCAGAAGTGCTAACAAATACAATAGAAACAAATTACACAAAAATATCGAAAATAAATTACTTTAAAAACAAAAGGCGATACTCTTAGCGGATAATTTAACTGAAATAAATTTATTTAAAGTGTAAACAATAGTCTTGATACGTAATAAACGCTCAAAACATCTAAAATTTATTCGGCGGGGAAAATACTGCTGTCTTTTTAAATAGCGCGCTTCAAACATAGCCATAATCCTAGAACAATTCACTAAACGACATGCATTTTGCTGACTTTTCACTTTCCACAACGAAATATCTGTTAGCGTATAATACTTTTTCAGTTAATCAATATGAGCTGTTAAAGTTTAGGCAATTGGATATGGGACATAATTTGTTCATATTCATAAAGTTGTGGCTCTTCAAAACTGTTTTGTGTTTCTGAGGATTATGCATACATACGGACATCAAAGGTATTGGCTTTGTGTATGTTCTTCACATTTGTCTCAGGAGTTATTTTTAGGCTGGATAATAAGTAGTTGTACAATACAGTCAACCTTCTTGGTAATTCATTCTTTTGACAAGTATCATGATAAGCCTTCAATATTTTCTGTATTTTAAATGTCAAAGTTTCTTGATAAGTATAAAGTACTTTACACTTTCAACATTTGTAGCAACTGTCACAGTTTTAAGGGATCGTATTTTACACAAACAAACCAATAGCATTGTTTAGTATAGACTAGAAGCAAGTTAATTCATATTAATGGTCGCTGAAAAATTCCCATCATAGTAAAACACAATTATATGAACGAAGAATATTATTTTTAATAATTTCTCATCAGTTTCTTCAATTATAAATACAAATTAATAATCCATAAAAAGTTGGCCAAGTTTAAGGCAGAGTACATCATTTAAGAAACGGTAACATGTGAATCAAGGAGTGTTTGTGATATAAAATAAAATCGCATCGTTAATGTTGGGATAACTAATATAAAGTGTTAACTTGAATCAGTTTATACGTGAAATAAAATCGTAAGATAAATGATCAGAATATATATAGTTGACATAGAGTGAGATAGAACAATGAGATTACAAATCAGGAATTACGTAATATGTAGAAAGGTTAGCAAGTGTAATAATAGTAATGACAATGGTAAGATGTGTAGATAAAATAGGTTTAGGATTAAAAAATGAACATTATTCAAATTAATGTCACCATATTAAAAAATTGATTATTAACAAGTTGACCCTGAAATTGGCCAAGGTAAAAGGAGCGGCTGAACATATTTCTTTTGGATGCAAAGCCCTGGATTTTTGATCCGAATAGCAATTGCCTCAGCCGTTTGCAGGATTCTCATTCTGATGGAATTAGGCAGACTGCTGCTAACACGTTATATTATTGTGAAAGATTGCTTGATGTTGGCTTTATGTCCCGTCCGAACTAAATGGGCTAAAATAGAGCTGTTTACCGCTTTGACTACACCTTTACTTAACCACACTAGGATGTGCTCACGAGCCCATGTACACTGGCTAAACGTTTAGAGAAATTTATTCAGCATCTACCCCTATTTACTATATTTGACCTAATTCATATTATTCTACATGTTACGTAATTCCTGATTTGTAATCTCATTGTTCTATCTCACTCTATGTCAACTATATATATTCTGATCATTTATCTTACGATTTTATTTCACGTATAAACTGATTCAAGTTAACACTTTATATTAGTTATCCCAACATTAACGATGCGATTTTATTTTATATCACAAACACTCCTTGATTCACATGTTACCGTTTCTTAAATGATGTACTCTGCCTTAAACTTGGCCAACTTTTTATGGATTATTAATTTGTATTTATAATTGAAGAAACTGATGAGAAATTATTAAAAATAATATTCTTCGTTCATATGATTGTGTTTCATATTATTGAGTTGAGCGCCCACGATGTTGCTTCTCGTTTAGCTGTTGTGTAAATCAGCTGCGTACTTGCTTTTCATTTTAACGGGAAATAAAATCAATCGTTCAAGTCGTGAAAGAAGCCTAGTAAGATAGTAGAACTAAGTACCAACTGGAGTTCGGCAGTTTCCTTGTGTTTCTCACTTACTTGAGTGTGATGTTTAAGAGTATTTGAATCATGGTATAAACTAGTAATCCCAGCAATAACGCAATTTGATCAAGAAGTATTAGATGAGCACGAACAAATCTACTGTATTCGGAATTAAAAATCAAAACAGTCATCAATACAAGGAAATCATTGGTTCATATAAACACCACATTGAGTTTGAGAAATATAAATGGTTTGAATTGTAACTGTGCCATATAAAGCTTTTAAAAGTTTTCAATTGGTAGATTTCGTGTCCACCCTTATGATAGCACTACCAGAAAATCTTTTCAAGAGCAGCCTCTTCTCGTAACCGTAATAGAATAGTTTGTGCAAGATAAGATGAGATCAAAATCTCTCCTGACATTTACTGTGAAAAATGAGGATTCTTTCTGGGTCTGAAAGTGCCGCCAGCAAAACTGCCAGTAGAATGATATTTCGGAAGTTATTCCGATTTCATTTGATAATTTAGAGACGAAACAGAAGATTAAGTAGAAAAGTTCTGACATTTTTGTCCTACATTGCCTTGCTACTGAAGGTACCGAATGGATGTATTGACTCAGAGATTCGCATATAAATATTACTTATCAAGGAAAAAGATTTACTAGCTAAATTATTAACTTTATGTTTTAAATGAAATTAAAAGTGGACATGAAATATTTACTGTTTACTGCAGGTTTTTTCCTGAAGGTTGGGCAAAGAGAGTAAACATGCCTGGAAGAACAAATGATATTTGTACTATGTCCAACCTCGACAAAGAAAATCTTGTGTCTGACATTTTTAGTGAGTACAATAATTCAGAACGATGTACTCAGGCAGTTGATAGAATAATTGAAAGTATTCAACAAAGGCGAAGACTAACCCAGGTAACGGTTTCATGAACTTCTGGAATAACTTTTACACTTTTGTCTTGACATATGTCCGCTGAAACTTGAGCTTCTCTCATTCAGTTAATGAGTGCATGCGAATTTAAAATAATATAACGATGCAAGATTAATCGTAATAAGTCTAGAACTTCAACAAGACACAATTAAGAACTCAAATTCTAAGTGCGCAGTGTGAGATTGTATTGTATGGTTATGATAGCTTTAAGCTCGACATAAAATACTTAACTGTGCAGTAAGTGTATTGTTTATTCATCACAGTACATCAGTATTCCTTAGGGTGTAATCATATTTGAAGTTTATTTCAAATGAAATCATTATAAGAATTAATAATTATTACAAAAATATTGGGTAAATTATAAATTCCTAATGACTTTAGGGATCTGTATTAAGTTCGCAGTAGGCGTCAAGTTACAGTTCACTATGATCACCACTACAAGAAAACTACGTGCCAGTTACTAGATTAGATCCCTCTGAAGGCCAAATATCAGGAGTCAGTTGAAGGTTGTAGTAAGATGTATTTGTCGGCGATCTCATAGTATCAAAACAATACCGAGATAGTGTCAAAGTTTACAAGCAATACTACTGAGCGTATGAGAGTTCGTGCATGGTCACAAACAACGGAAGAGTGTCTTTTTGGTACACTTAAACAAATAGGTACAGTAAAACAATCACTGGTACAATTGGTCATAATAATAATTGTTTCCGTTATACCAATTGTGTTCTCCTCATAAAAGTAGGTCACTACAAGTACTTCTATTCTTTGGAATTTATATTAAATTTAAGTGGTAACAACCTTTGAGATATAAAAATATCTATATGTGTCCCATATTTACTTCATGTGAATTTTTGAGTAAAACGATTAAATAGCATCTGCCTACATCGAATTCGTCACTCTTGTAGCTTGAAATAAGCCGGTAGAGCCCTTGTGACTCATTTATCTGGAAGCTGCTACTTCTTGAAACTAAAGAGTTTTTGAGTAAGCCATTTTATTAGGCGATTTTGGAGCCCGAAAGTGCTTTGATATCTTCTTTATTAGTCTAATTTTGTTCTAACAACAAAGTGGAAATGGGTGTGAACTGAATTTTTTACAAACGCAAAGTTATCGGTTACGGTCCTGGTGAAGGCCCAAACGTTTATTTCTGTATTCCTATGTCACAATTACTCATTTAAATCAGTACGCATAACTATGTGAGTGTGTCAGTGTGCAACAACTTTCCTTGCATTTATATCAAATTTTACTGGTAGACCTAACACCATACAATGAAGTTGAATATGTAACAACAGTTTTTATAAATCTTTTTTTTTAAAAGTAGACTGGTAATAATCAGGCCAAACCATTCACATACAACCATGCCCAACCAACGTTTTTGAATTCTCAGTCTTGTCATCATAGACTACCAAGGTTAGTGTCTGATAAATAATAATTTTTGTTACCAAGTGAAGGTTAAACTGGTGGTGCGATCTACTTATTAACTGGAAAATTTGTCTACTATTTTATGCGTTATTTTCATAATATTTAAAGAGGTTTATTGAAAACTTGCCCGCAAACGCCCTGGTACAACCAAGAGTGGGAAAGACCCGTCCTCTCTCTCTCGAAATGCTCTCACATGGCCACGCGTAAACAGCCTCTGCCAGGGAAGTCCTACTCACTGCCTTCTCAAGGCGGGGTGTTGTTTACGAAATTGAGAAGACAAAAATCGAATGTCCGACGCTTTAACCGGGTTGGTAGATAAGGAGGACCCATCTAGGGGAGACGGTAAACCTTGATTCCAAACCACTGGTGTACATGGGCTCCAGTATCCTGACGAAACACATGGCGTATGAACCAATCGTCGGTCACCGGCTACCATGGGACTGCATCTCCTTACGATACCTCACTGACTTGTGGATCAGACATTTAGGTCAAAGGCTCCAGATGTGGCCTCTTAAGCAAACCACCTGCTTCGGTCTAGGCACCCGGGAAGTATCGCAGCCCTCACATAATTAAATGAAATGATGATCTTTTGTGTGGCGCATATATATATCTGGTGCCCCCTTGTATCAATATTTATGTGTTAAAATAATAATAATAATAATAATAATAATAATAATAATAATAATAATAATGTGATCATCTCAATAGGATAAGATCCAGTTAATTCAAAGTGTTATTCAATATACCTGTATTAGGATTATGTTATACTAGCCAGTGATTTCTGTAAGCTTTTCTTATCATCGTTTAATTTTAGCTATTATTATGAAAAAGTATTTCTATTTTTGTATATCCAGTGAATTTGTTCAACGGTCACGTGTCCAACAAATAATCGACGATTTTCTTCAAAAGGCTAGAAAACGGTAGGTAAACATTCCTCATGTTTAGATCATCTACATTCGGCTTAATTTTTATGAAAAATATCGTTCCAATACCATGATAAAAATTCACGGATACTATCACAATGACTTCATGTCACTTAAAGATAGGTTACTATCAATAATTGTTACCATATTTTCTGGGACTATTGGAAAAAGGGTAGTATTGTATGATATAGATGGAAGTAGTTTTAACAGTCTTTCGTGTTTTTTATAGTATCTTGGAAACTATCAGTGAATCTAGAAATATATCATCCGATAAAATAGGTATTTATAATCCAACTAAACTGTTAATCATATTATTTCTAGGCTGCCGATTTTTTCATTACTTTACCTGTTACATTAAAAGATAAAAACACACTTATATAAAATTCTGATTAAAACCTAATGTTTGATGTATTAATAAAATTTATCACACTATGAAGTGATAAAGTAAAGAGCGAAAGAAAGTTATTAACATCTTCACACGGGATTATTCTATAATTAGTCTGCAGACTAATTTTGGTAGTTCAAGTTAGAAACACTTGATTTTATGATTAATTATAGTTTCAGTGTAAACCTCTTTTACTTACAATAATTAGTTATTGTTACGTGAAAACTCCTTCTTTAATTTCCCATCCCAGTACTGGTTTAAAGTCGTTTTACAACGTTATTTGAAGGCTATTTATGACTAACCACTTTAAGTTAACAATAAACTGTAGCACCTAAATCCTAAATATTAAAACAAATGACTGGCTAAATATACATTGAATAAGATATCTCCGGCTAGTAGTTCCACGTGAGTCGTCAATATCAACGAGATTTCCCGTAAATATGAAATCGCTTTTCACGAGTCTTGTAATCATTGAAAAACTTTGAAAGTATGGCATAGTGTAAAACCTTTTCTCTTTATAATTAGACTTTTCATTGTTTTTACCCATGAGTTATACTGAAACAAGTAAGACATTTTAAGGCTCACTATGAATTAGTTCCCTTTAGTGATGTAAGTAATCTCATTGGACCGTTTTAAAACTCTAATTCTAGTCACCTTAGATGATGTGAATAAATGAGTGAATTAGCAAAATAAAGTAAGAGATGCAATGTACCATTATCAGTTATTTGATGTTGTAGATTTTCTTAATTAGAGTTGTGATCAATAATTTTATGGCTTACGGATTCACCATGGATCATGAGAACATTCACTTCAACCCCGGGGGTACATTGTTATATGACCGATTATTAGAATTAAACCGAAAAACTGTATATAATAGCAGGAAGTCTTTCACACAGTTTCGTTGAAATCGTACACTATCTACTCTTCTGAAGTCATAGACATACCTGTAATCAGAAGTACAAAAGGTATATAGTACATTATCCAACACATACAGTGCAAAGAACAAGTTGTAAGAGCTGATTTAATCAAAACATTTACTCATGAAGACGTTGATAATTTACAATTGAATTGATTCTTCTCTTCTGAAGAACGTTTCATCTAATTCTAAATATTTTTTCCGATTCCATGATTACATGTATGCTTTTTGATGGAGTTTTGTTCTCTGAACTGGATGGTTTGGTTGTGGAGCTTTCATTGTCCTTCTGAACGACATCATCAGCACAAACTTCTGGTAGAAGTGAAGTATTTGAATTTCTCCACATGTTCTTCACAGCTTGTCCTGTACACCTCGATGTCGATTGGTTCTTGTTGACCTTAAATCTGTCAATGTTTTCTTCTTTGTTTTGGTTGTATCTCCCATTGGTTTGATTTTTGTTCCTATGTTTCTGCTTAGTTTTCCTGATTGGTTGATAAATTGGATTGATTTCAATGTGCATGTTTATTGCTGATTGACCTGAGTACCAAGCTTCTAAAAATTTTCCGATGTTTTTGGAATTGCCTCTATCCAGAATCGTCACATTTTTCCAGTCAAATGTGTGTCCGCAGTTGTCCACGTGCATTGATATAAATGAAGACATGTGATGGCGTTTGACTGCTAATCGATGTTCATGCAGGAGAAGATGAAGAGGGCGACTGCATTGTCCGGCGTAATGTTTGTCGCAGTTGGCACAATTTATTTTGTAGTTGATGTTTGGTTTATTTTATTTTGTCATTTAATCCTTTCGTTTGCATAAGATTGAATGGAGGGATTTTGTTTGTTTGTGAGCAACACCTATTCCGAAGGTTCTCAGCAGTTTCGTTGTCGTTTCTTATATACCTTTTATGTATGGTAAGGTGATCCTTTTGTTAATGATGTCGTTCAGAAGGACAATGAAAGCTCCATGACCGAACCGTCCAGCTCAGGGAACAAAACTCCATCAAAATCATCCACCTTCCACTCCATCTCAAAATACATGTATACGCTTATCGATTGTTCTTTTTATGATATAAGAAGTGTTAGGGAAACTTGAGACATTGTATTCTGATAATTCCGTATTGTCTTGAACAAATAATACAGGATAAGTGCAATACTATATATCTGTTTTTTACTTCGAATGTTTTTCTTCATAACAATAGGTAATAATCTTGTTTAAAGCAGACTAGTTTGTCTTAACTATATATAAAATAAAAATCTTCATGGTCCTATTAAGGAGGCTTGAAAATAATTAAACTAATCATCAACCAATGGGACTGGCTAGACCAAATATTTCTTTTTCAGCAACAGTATTTACCAACCATAGGAATCCCGTTTCATTTTGTCAACACTAGTCGAAATATGGTTATATTTTTATTTAATATCGTTTTCGAATAACTCGACAGACTATGTGCACTTAGTTCTGCAAGTACTATTCTGGTTGTTCAATTCGTTATTATCCTGTATAAGTTCAGATAAGGATACATGATACTAAACAACCCATCAATTGATTCAAATGTTGTTTTATAAGTTCTATTAAATTTCCTACAAATAAGTGAACATGGTTTTGTAACCTTCACCTAAGATTATCGTTTTTAGTCAACTGGGAACAATTATTTCTTACCGAGCAAAATGTAAGGAAGTTTTCGATTCCTTTTGACACTGGGCTAATCAGTGTAATTTATGATAGCGGCAGATAACCTTTTTAAAATGAAAATGTTATCTCCAATGCTTCCCTTTAAGAACACAGGTAAATTACAACCAATGTCCAAAAACGGTTCTAAGTATGTTATCTTCAACACAGTGGCAATTTTCGTAATGGATTTAGATTAATACGATAATCGAATGATCAATTAGTAGATGAAATCAGTAGATGTAATATAATAAAACATTTCATCACTTGATAAAAATAATAACAGTTATTAAGTTTATATTTGTAAACAGTTAACATAATGAATTTATCCTCGTACCAATGAATTTCATTCGTTAGCACGGTTAAACGAAACTTCTACTATGTTTTTTACTTGTTTTAGAGGACTAGGTGGTCGAACGTCTAAAGAAAAAAATAATCCTCCAGCAGAAATCCAGTGTCATCCAATCAGTCGTCAACCATATAAACCTAGAGAGGGAAGAGAAATCAATTTTGGTGTGAAGGAATATTTGCCTCTAACAGAGTATAAAAATCGACTTGATGTAAATTGCAGTAATTTCGATACTGAATTTCATCAGACATGCTCTTCAGGGATTTATGTGAGTTTAATCAGTTCAGAGTTTCTAGGAGTTTCAAACTAATACTAATCTAATGTTAATCAAAAACATTTTCCCTTAATATCATTCCACATACAACACAAATTTATGAACGTAATGAAGTAATTTACTTCCAAACAATATATTTTTCAAACAACTTTTCTGCAACTTTATAACCCCTATAATCATTAATTTATGGTTTCTATACTTTATTAGGACGCAGATGAACAGAAATCTAATTTTTAAAAAGAAGTTAAATCGAGTCTATTGAAATAAATAATCACGGAACACAACGAAAAAACGAACTGACTAAAAACTCATGCCCGATAGAAGTTGGACATTTTGAATCAACCCACTTTTAAAATAATTTACTTATACGGTCTTAAAAGTAATTATGAATTATTCACCTTGAGTAATTTTAAAGTCCTACCTTGTACAGTTTGGTTCGTTCTAAGACCTAGGAGTTTTGTCGTTAAACTAGTCAAAAGTTGGTGCAAGTTCGTCAGGAGTAATAATTATGACTTTGAGCAGCATGTGTATTCTGCTGATTTCAAATAAGATGTTCACTAATAATAAAAAGCACGTATCACAACCTGTTTACAAAATGCTGTTCTATATTCTTAATTACTAGAGTTGATAAAATTAAAACGAGATGTGATTCATTTCACACCTTATGCTCAGTACAAAAACCAATGATATAATGACTATTAAGTCAAGTGCATATTTGATTTACACTTTCCTTCAGCTTTATTATTTACTTTAATGTGATTTCAATTCTGAAATTTTTTTTCGTTTGACATTATGAATTATGTTTACATTGGTATGTTGTGTAGTGTTTAGACAAAATCTGATAGAAAGATACCTAGAAATAAATCTAAATTTATAAAATGAACAGCTTTTAACGACTTGATTACGGTGGCGGCATGAAATATGTGGTATTGATAAAACTGTAACACAAAACATTCCACTTTTATAGTAATTTAGAAAGATGGGACAAACTGCAACTGAGTATATTGATTATCTGTGCATAAATTTTCAAGTAAATTATTCATGTTAATTGATCAGTAATAAAAACTTGGTACAACTTATTGAAGTTCTGTGGGAATAGACATCACTAATTACAACACATGGTGGTCATGTGATATTGTGAATTGACTGACTTTAGAAATATGAACTAACTTGTAAGCAAAATGAATGAGATTTCATAGGTACAAATAAATGTATATGCTTATTTTCCTTGTACACTCATTTGTAGATTGGTGTCAAAACTATTGATCCTTCTTGATTTAGTAACTCATAATCACTAGAGAAAGTAGTATGTTAAGACAGATCATTTAAAAATATTTATTCAATTATTTTTTCATATTGTATATTGGAAGTTCCTCTCTTTTTAGTCACCAAGCTTTAGTATTCGATCGGACTCACCAGATTTATTTGATCTACAAAGAAATAAAGTCAATTCAGAAAATGATCTAAAACAACCAGTGAATATAAATGATAAAGAAACAAGTTTTGGATTGTTTGATCATATTCATGGAACCCATTTTTCCAAGTCTGATTATGACGAAATAATTCAGCCTACTGACTTGTATTTTTCCCAGTGCTCCAGAGAAATGCAACGGTCTCCTAGAGTGCTAGAAGTTCCATTATTTCCAAATCATAACTCAATCAATAATTTCTCAGTTATTAACAACAGAAGTGCCCGTGCTGTAAGCTCTGATTTAGAAATCATTTTCTTTCATACAACATGAGCAAATTAAACGATTGTTCATTTTGTTTCTTAACTTGAAATAAATACAAAAACACCGCATAGTCCTCCTATAGTTGTAAGATAGATGTGCTGCATACATTTTATGCTTTATAAATATTTTAAAGATATTTGATAATGTTAATATTGCCAAGTGATGTCCTTACTCAACGTAACATGCATAATTTTCTGAATTTGTTTAAAGCAAGTAATAAAAGTGTAGCAGAATAAGATTAATTCATTTATTTCGTGGTTCACTTTCAGCTGACTACAACCTAGAAACAATAACAATGAATATTTATAAGCAATATGCATATTTTATATTATACTAGCGATTAGTAGAACGATGGCAAGTGTCTGAAGAAATTATAAAGCAGTAAAATGGATGATTAGTTGTGTTACTAAATGTGATGATTCTTTAAGAAAAAATTTCAAACATATGTCTTTATGGGTTTGAAAACCTTTTTCCTTCTTTCTAATTTTCCTTTAGGCTAATTTATCAACGGTAGATGCATGGAATTTCAGAAATTTTAAAAAGATGTCATATGTGCTAGTTTTAGAATGTAAAAAACTTCCATTTATTTTGCAAATGCAACTTGTCATGCACTAGTGGTCATTTGACAAACAATTATACTTTATTTTCAAGCTTTGTCTTACAAGCTACTTCGGAGTTAAGAACTTCAGCAAATATTACCCCGTATTTTGTTTCTTATTTTATAAGTATTACTGTAATCACAGTAGATGATTTCTTTTAACACTTCAAACGACAATGAAGAACCTCAAGAATTTTAGAAACTTGTCAATAGGTGTCAATATGATGAACACTGGGACATTCGTATTATAAAGCACCGCTAACGATCATGGTTGTCCTAGTTGATGAGTACAGAGGTTCTAATCTGCATGGTATATTAGTGCTGCTTTTCTAATTACTTCAGCCTTGGACTAAGCCATGTAGGTAGGTCCAAACCACTTGATCGGGGGCCACGTGATTATCGTGTAGTACTATACCAGCCCACATAGCTTGTTCTATCTTCGGGACAGGTCAGTCTATTCATTCTTTTTTTATTTTGAGTGACACTGCGTAAAATCGTTCACAACTGTGTAGACGCTCTCACCTTTTTTCCCTAGATCCCAAGTTTCTTAATTGCCTGAAACCATTTTTTAATTCTCTAATTCATATTTATTTCCCGAATCCTATATTTGATGCCCAAGCTTTTCTCTTACCACTAGTTTTGTTACTATATATACTACCCTGGAACTCGCCCGAACAGTTTCATCTCTCTGTGATGGTAGGGTATGGTAAGTGAAACTAACATACATATGTGCTATGTTCTACGTTGCTCATGACTGACTGACGAATACAAACAAATAACATTTCTTTATTAGCTTATTGTCAAATCCAGTGTACTTTCATGGCAAAATAAAAAGTATGGAAGAGTTAATAGGATTTTTATCACAGTCTTCAACCACTGAAACCTTTTTACAGAGGGATTTATTTCTCTCTTTCTATAGGATAAATTAACAAGCGCCTCTACTTTTCAAAAATTTAGATTATCTCCTAGGTATCTTTATAAGTATTATTGTTTACGTTTATGAGAAATTAAAAACTGTAGTAGAATTAGAAGTAAATGCACATGAATCTTTGCAAACAGCATCAAGAGTCAACGTTTTGAGATTTATGACTTGTTATTACAAGAGCTTGGAAGGTTCTCCAGGAACCCTATGTCATGGATCTTGCAAAAAAAATTCAAAAATATCTGCTACATTCTTATGATCAAGGAAATCATATCAAAAAGAGTTCTCACCACTTTTTAAAAAGTACTTTGGTACTGACTCTAAAAGTCTTTTAGAAGAAAGGCATTGGAGCAGGCTTTTTTAAGTATTTTTAAATGATTGAGGTTCGACTTCAGAGATTATGGTTTAAAGCTGTCGTATACAAAATTTAAAAACGACGTCTCTAGGATCTGGCAGGTGTTACTCACTCTCTTTTCACGCTAATTTTTATTCTAAAACTGTTTTATTTATTGAGTTTGATAACTCTCAATTTGTCTAAACTCAGAATTTGATGTAATTACATGCAATTCTTTTCTTTTGCTTTATTATCGGCCGACTCACTGTAAGCTCAGCTTTTGGACCTTTCGATCTCATACGTGAATGTTCGCTTATGTTTTATTGAGGTTCATTTTTTGACTGTTCGACAGAAATTTCTTTTTTTTATTGTGCTAACCTCAAGTATTCTTAAACATACCATAATATATGAGATACTTCGCTTGTATTGTCTTTCAGATGGAAAGTAAAATTATACCTACAAATGTATATCACAATAGACCGCGCATTTTATCCCAAAATCAATGTAATCAATATGAAGACCAAGCACTTAGATCTTATGATGTTGGATTGTGTAAAAACTGTCATATACTGTACAGCAAACAGACAAATACAAACCTTAAAATTGATATTTCTAATTTTAGTCCAAATGTTTTACAAAACATTCAGAAATCTAACTCTACCAACAAGTCTTCACAAGATAATTGGAAGTTTGACCTCGCTTGTCAACCATGTAATTTAAATAATTTGAATTTTTATTCAAAAAAAACAAACAGAGATGAATTTCAAGATTTTTTAGATGACTGTAAATCCAGGTACGTTCAATTTAATAATGAAATACTTTTATGTAAAGAATAAAATATCTAAAAAATAAGCCAACATCAATGAACGTTATTATATATTGACATAAAATTAAAGGTGTTTAGAATTTCTACCAGCAACTGAATTTACTTTTTTTGAATTTGAACATACGGGAAAATTAAAACTTACGAGTTCCGATATTTATCCCTTAGATACCCTTTACACATTATCTTTTACAATATATGAACATTATTGAAGTAATAGCATTCACGTTGTGAAACAGAATTTGTTATCTGGTATTATTTTAAATATGCTTCTGTTAACAACTGTATGAATATAAAGAAAATATATTATTTCCATTTATATGTGGTAGCTGAAAGTGAAATGTAACTGGTCACTGAGTGTAGACAAACAGGAACTTAGCCTACTGACTATTAAATATGTGACCTCCTTTACTCCTATTGATTTTTACTCCGGAATCACTGTGACTACTTGTAATTGTGTTAAATAAGGTATTATCTAGTGTTAACCTCGTTCTCTATTCTGGTTAGAGAATCCTGGATCTCTGACTGTGAAGCTGAGTGACGCGGGATCGAATCTGCCAGGGAGCATCAGTTCGCTCAAGATTACAGGTACACCTTGCTGACGAGTGCCAAGTAGCACGAAACCCGGGTCCAGGGTTTCCTGTTGACCACCTCCAACCACCATGTTACCCTAATATATATAGTGTCCGCAGTGTCGAGCCACCTAGACTGGTGGCCACATTGCAACTTGATCGATAGCATTCGATCAGCACTAAGGACCTGACACGCATGAGATTGATCACCACCCAGTGATCAATCAATTGTAATCCTGGATCTTGTTTGACGTGACTAATCTTATTATCGTATTGACGTATTATTACAGCATACCTGAAAGACATTTTAAGCTATCCGTTATATTAATATGTATTTGTTCTGAAAATCGATAAATAATACGTTTTGTTTCGTAAAAACGAAGGTTCAATCAAACAATAACTTAAGTTTGGCGAATGTGTTTAATTGAGTCCTTTTCATTCTTGTAACATGAATTTTATTACTGTTTTTTGTTATCTAAAGTTGACTGTTGAAGTTGTAAGACGAATGACAACTAATACATTACTGATTATTTACTTGTTTCAGGAAATAGCTTTATTGGAAACAACCCATGAAAAGTGTAGTTGTATTACAAGATTATGCATTTTGCTCAGTTAATTATGTAGTATAAAAATCAGTCATTTTTATTTCACAATTAGAACTATGACTTATTCAACTCGTTTTGCTTCAAGTTATTGAATTGAAATCTTGTTGTTTCTACCTACCCAGACACTGTATGACAACAGGTTTTGAACAATTCACTGGACACAATAATTGCTGTATAAATAATTATTTCGAAAATTTAGTGAGTGATCAAGTTTTTCAACATAATTTTCATAAATTCACAAGTAAATTTACGAAAGCTCATACTCATACACTCAAACATCATAAGTCATCACCAGAGTTTAAATTAGTGTTTCCTTTCAAAGTAATCAATACTGAATGTAATAAGTTAAATGAAACTTATATGTGTAATCAAGATCATCAAAATGAGGATATTGTTAAACATCTTCCAAACGAACAAAAGAATGACTTTATTTACAATAAAAATGTTAACACTCTTAAGCACACAGATTATTCAAAGAGTGATTTAAAATTGGTCGAAGAAAGAAAGATTCATTCATTAGGTTTATCCTATTTACCTGATAAAATAAACAATCTGAAATCTAAGACATCAACAGTATCAACCCAAACATATTCAACAAATGAAAGATGTGAAGATACTTTTTGTATCCCATATAGAGAACAAAATTTTAACACGGAAAAGATATATTGCACAAAATGTCTAGATGGTTCAAAGGTAAGCGTTAAGATTAGTTACTATCTGCTACATTTAATTATTAACGGCATATATATTACACTATGTCTCGTAAATTAATTCAATGATCGAATTTAGATTACCTAGAAATTATCAAATAAGTCACTGTGAACAACGGTGAATACAGACTAATGTTCGCTATGTTTTATATTGTATATATTTTTTGCCTTTTTCAAGCATTAGATGAAAATAAATGAGTATGATTGTTTAAAGAAACATTCAAATGATAAAATGTGTTGACTAATAATATTGCATCAAAAGGTTTTAGGTTTTATTATTATCATAAATTATGTCCACAGACTTTGGTTCAGAATTGTATTTATATCTAACAACTAGTCATTCGCTTCCACTATACAAAAACGAATAGATTCGACGTTGTGAATTTATTTTTATATGGACAATTGTTTGAAATGGTATAATATGATTGAGTGATGATTCTACAGGCAAACTCAAGAAATGACACAAAGGTTCTTCCTATAATTAATGGGAATCAACGAAAACACAAGTAGGACGTAAAATAGGTTCAATTTCATTCAATAAGTAACTTGCGTATAAAGGAAAAAGTTAATATAATTAACATTATGAAGAGTAACTCAAAACATAAGCTATTAGTGAGATGAATATTAATCGATCATTCACGGAACATTTAAATCAAGACTCGAAAATCATGCTTAACAGCTGTTCAGTAAATTGAACTGCTTCAAAGACAAAGTTGAACGTACCACTGTGGTCTTTAATTACATACTGATATAAGAGATACACTAGATAAAAATGACCACCTTTATGGAGTAGACGACCAAAAAATAATAATTTGGTACTTGTTAAATAACAGACAATGTTTTATCAAAGTAATTAGTCTCGTTTATAAATTTTAATAGAGCAATGAGAAGACGGAGTTGATCTGAAAAATGTGATGCATTTACGCGATACACTTCGAACAATTTGGTCACACATATACTTGTCAGAACATTTTATATGAAGATCAAATGTCCTCTTTACTACCCTGTTTACTTGAACTTTTATTTAATTGATCTTTATTAATCTTCATATAAAATGCCCTGACATTTATGTGAGAACAGATTGTTCGAAATGTATAGGGTAAATACATCACATTTTTCAGATCAACTCAGTCTTCTCATTACTCTATCGAAATGTTTTATTAAAGAATATCCTAATAATAATAATCTATCCCAGTTGTGTTTCAAGCTGGAACACAAATAATCGTTTGTGAAACATTTACTTTCAGTTCAAATGTGTTGACATTGCAGTTGACCATATTCTAATGTGTTTGTTGGTGACTAGCAATACAAATCGGTATATGTCATTCTTCCTATATATGACTCGATAGATAGATGTACCTCTACTAGACTGGTACGAATGTTTTCCATGGTGGTCTAGATTCAATTGACTAATGATCTCAGCTACTAAAATTACTACAATATCCACAAAAACACCTTCTGATATGAAAATAACTGTTTGATGACCGTTTTTCGACTTTTTGTTTCGTTTTGGTTTGATCAGTCTAAAAGTGGGACTCCACCACCAGAGGGAACAAGCTCTCATGATGAATCAATTATTATAAGTGACTTTACTAAACAACTGCCGATACTATCATCTGCGAAAAATCATATTCACAAACCACTAGCTACATCAACACCCTCTGGTGAAAGGGCAAATGACGATAAAAAAGCTGATGAGAATAAGTCTAAAATGAAAACTAAACAATTAACAGATGCTTATTACAGTTTTCAAATGCCTAGAAAAATTACAAGAGATATATCTTCTGAGACCATTATGAACAATACGGATGAAAGTGAATCATTTCTAATTTTAAATTTATTAAAATCAGCAGGTAAAAGTATCTCATTTGAAAATATTGATTACATTAATAATGAAGAATAAAAAATTGTAAAGTTCATAAGATGAAATACTATTCATGGTTGCCTTTGTTGATTGTTATACTGATTTGGTTAAATAGTTCAGTAGTTTAAATAAACATAATTTGAGCTAATTAATGTTCTCTTTGTAAAATACTCATTACCAAATGTTTGTAGGAGATTCTATAGAAAGACTTGATTACTGGTACTTCTTGATAAAATGTCTACAAAAGTGAACGGATGAATATTGTGACATGTATTGCCAAAAAGTATAATGATTGGAGCTAGTATGCGCTAAAATGGCCCTAAGAAGGAAAGAATAGCGAATACAATTCCTCAAATTATTGTCAGTTTCACAACTGTTCACTTTTGTGGCATTCGGATCTTTACATCTTAAATTTGTATCTCATCGACAAATCACTGATTTCATGTATTTTGGAATCCATAACAACATATCAACTTATGTAGAGAAAGAAGTTATCCGGTAAGCATGATCTGTTGACCAATGTGTACTATACATAGATACGGGATACGTTCACAATCATATAGACCGACATTTTTGTACTACAAATTTACAGAACACATTAGCACAAAGCTTATGAAAACACTCTTACTACATAGGGAAGCTAAGTACAAGTTGAAGATCTTTTGACACTGTTAATAATTAAATAGAACTAATAATTATCGTTAGCCAAATGCACATCCAAACAAGTCAAATTATATTTCAGTTGATCCAGTCAAGAACTACTTCTTTGTGTTGTAGAGGGCACAACACGAGTAAAAAACGCACAGTCCCATTTGCTTTTAATTATCACGATAATTCTATTAGTAGGAAGACACTTCGGCATTGCTGAAGGGTTTTCGCAGCTCTTTTCAGTTGTGCTTTCGTTACTATGTGCAATGAGTCGTAATATTCCAAGTAAATCTGGATGGATATCAAGTTTTTCGTCCACTTAGCTATCTTGTGTTAACGGTTAGTTTTTGAACGGTGTGCCAGGAACAGAACTGATAGCACCATAATAGTTTAATAAATCCTTCATTCAAAAGCATTGGAAACCAACTGGAAACTTCAATTATGTCAGTGCCGAATTGCGGTAGAGAACGAAAATTACATTTATATCTTCCCCTTAGTTCTGGGAACATGATCAAAAGCTCTAAGAGATAAATGAGTTTCACATTTTGAACCATGAACTGATCTTAGTTAGACAACTATTGTAATCCTGGAAGCCCTGGATAACTGTCTCATCATAATATGCGACTTCTTAGTAGTATTTTAAACTGTAAAAATTCTTTAATCGCCACAAATCCCCTATACTAAAACTAAATAATTGTCAATTCAAGAAAAGTATGACATCTAATGCTATCTACATGTCAGTAAAAAAATGTTTCACAAAAACAAACGAAAAATGCTTCGATAAAATTCGTTAGGGAAGGATATTTTAGGAAATGTTTGAACAAGTTTATTTTTGAAAATAAGCATCTGCGAATTATCTAAAAACAGAAAATATTAAACAACTGCCAGCTGGTAATTAGTTATGAGTTAATTACAAAGGATTTCATGCATGTAATAAAGAAAATGAGTAAACGCACAAAGCCTCTTAGTCTTTATTACTATGAGCTCAATACAAACCTGAGAGAAGGTAAAGTCAAACTGACAAAATGAATTGATTGAAATGAGCTGTTCTCCTTATATCTGTTGCTATTATCATCATTACTATTTATTATCTGCAAACATAATGGGAATATAATATTAAACTAGTACAAACATTATATGAAAGGAAACGAAATGTTTGGCTGTTGAATAATCTGAAAAGCTTTATTGATCACAGCTTCAGTAGTACGGTATACAATTGATATTAGAAAAATTTCGTTGAAAACATTGGACATCAGAAAATGAAAGAATACTTTCCATCGTCTTCTCAATCATTTTTCTGGGGATTTCATGCTAAGTGATTTTGATGATGGAAAATTCATAGGACCGACTTGACAAACAGTATTGTTAGGTGGCGTTAAATTAATAAGAAGTTTAGCTACTTCTTCGTTTTCCATGGAATGCGGATTTTGTATATAACGATAGATCATATCTTGTGAGAATCCGCTCTGTTCTAGATGAATAACTAGGCGGGCCAGTTGTTTTGCCTAGAGTAAATAAGAAGTATAAAGACTTTATCATTTCATGTAGATACGAAGTAGCAATTTAAAAATACTTTTGAAATTAATTGGAGATGAATTTACCAGGCTATGAGTCTGGTCCATAGTCAAACGATCCAATCATTACTAGAACAGCTCTGGATCAAACCATGTGAAATAGGTAGGAATATATGAAACATATACATGACAATCTAAGTTTTAATTAGAAAGCCGTCAGATTGTAAACCTGCACTTCAGACAAATGTTTTGAAACATATAGGACGGATAAAAAACAACATATGAGATTATCTTCTAAATAGAAATGACTTATTTTCCAAGTTTATACAGTCAAAATAAATATGAAGACGAAATGTTAATGAATAAAAATAACTACTCAAGATCAAGATTGAAGAACAAGCTATCAGCTATAGATGGAGAAATTAGGGTACTTTACTTTTGTCTGGAGTTTGTAGTGTCGATATTGTGTAGAAAAACAATGAACGCTTCGCAACTAAACCATTCAACTTAGAGAATGAAACTCCACCAATATTTTACTCCTTGTAATTTCAAGCCGATAATCATCACTTTCTATCTTGGAATCAGTACACAGCAAACCCTGGATATATATTTCACACTCATCAGTAAAACATATCTGTGATCGTGAGAGAGGTGATAATTTCTCAGAAATCCAAACTTTAGTGTTGTATTGCAATGAAAGAGGTTACAACAGAGCGATTGAGGTCGCTTCCTCCAGATTCTAGGTAGAAATATGAGTATAATAAGAGAAAGTTGATCCTAATTATTGAGCAATTAGAAAAAATCACTAATAAGAAATGGTTGTTTCATCTTCGTAATATCAGGATCAGAACCCATAAGGATAGTAAACAGTCGACCTTTACCTTTGGAGCAGCCAAGAAAACCTGAATCATGCAATGAGGGAATTCTATATTGTCTCACTTAACTGCTGTTGAATTTTATTTCACACACTAAGTCCTTGAAAAGTATTATGCAATGACAATATGCAATATATCTTTCAAAACTAAGGTTTTATCTACTGACTTTATATAATAATTGTGAGCTTAATGGGTACACTAAAAAAAGTCACCATCACGTGCTACTGAAACGGTAAATTTTATGACAAAGATAAGTCACGCTGTCATCATGAGACGAATCAATTATACGAGCAAGAATTGATGGTTTACTTTAAATACATTATCCATTAAAAGCTAAGGTCTTTTGAACCACAATTACGACAAATGAGAATATTCCCGGAAGGACATGTAATAGGCTAAAACAATTGTCCAGTAAAAATTAAAATGTCTAGCCTTACAATATGAAACTTTTGCCTTGAATCACAAGGTAACTTGATTTTATTGAAGTTAAAAAAGATTTGTATTCATACTTTTTGGTTAATTTGAATCAAAGTGGTAGAAAGGTGGGATATAAACTTTTTTTCTTTTGCGATAATAGTAGTCAAAAAGCATTCGGGATTAGATCCTACTTACAGGCTTCATATGCTAAACAAAGCTTCCTAATTTCGAGAAAGCTACAAACTAGGAATCCAGATATGAGTCTGATCAAAGAAAATATACGCTCCAAAGCATTCCCAATGAAACCTATCTATAAAAGCTTATAACATTCAAGAGCAACTACTATCTTAAGTTATATCTATCATTACGGCTGATGTTTGACATTGTTCAGTAACATTTTTTTAGTTTTGCCAATTACGTCATCCCTTACGACAGTATTAAGTAAAAATCCGAACCAATTACGCACTCTATGAAAGGTGCTTTGAACATTCTGAAACTTACTCAATTCATTTAATATAATGTGCACTAGTAAGATTAGATTGACAAAAACTCTAATATCCCGAAATCAAACCTTCTATTCTCTTAGTACTTCCGTAAATTTAGCGAAATGGCTTTTTTCCGTGATATTAGCTATATTTTTTCGGTCATAAAAACCTTCAATTGGCTTTATCGGTGAGGTTGGATCGATGAAAACGAAAACTTAAACTACTACACCGAAACAGTACACAGGCACACTGGCTTTTCTTTGTACATTCAAACAAAACAAAAACGATATAAGTATGAGGGATTTGTGGAGATTGCAGTATCCTCACAGTTGAGGAGTCCCATACTATGATTAAGCGGCCGTTCAGTGCCTCTAGGTTTTCAGTGGTGGTCTAGCTTAGATCGACTCGTGGTTTCAACTGTGAAGAAACGATATAAGCTTGGAAAGTATCATTTGCTGCACTCTCAGATAATCAGTCCGCATATTTATTGGCAGGACAGTGTGAAACTACCTTTTTCATAATTTAAGAACAAATTAAATTAGTTACGAAAACGTTCAGACTACATTCTAATTTCGTGTTTCAAACAACTTACTAGTCTATTATGCATTTTAATTTTCCGCAATTTATTAACCTCATTATTTTTTATGTTACAATTTCAAATAATTCTCACCTTGAATAGGTCATTAGAACAGGTAACTGTAATCAAAAGAGCTGATTGTTCACTAAGCTTATGAGGATTTTGATTAGTTGAGAAAGTTGTCAATAGTGAGTTGAAAATATGAAGAAGATTTAATAAGATCAATTTGTTCTGCTCAAGATTTTGACATGTAAAGGCTAAAATGAAAAAGGAAACAATGTGTATTTATCCACATTAAGTTGACAAAAGTTTCGAAATGATGAGAAGCAAAACTCTTAAAATAAAATCCTTAACCTTGGTTACTAATATGATGTGGGAACATGGACCGATACATACATGAGATAGATTCTATGGTACCCATGACTGATTCACAAATCTAAACTAATTAGAACCCTATATAGTACGATAAAAATTAAATTAACAAACATGAAATCAATGGAACGACTTTTGAGTAGATTTCTGTTTCGTTCAAGTATGACGTTTTTCTGATTTCCTTTAAAATGTTAGTAATAAATATATTATTTGTTATATCCCAATTAGTAGAAATTGTATTTCTGACGTTTCATGACTTAATGTAAGTCAAATCTTCAGAGTATATAAACAACTGACCTAAATTACCAAGTTTAAGTTATACGAAGAAACAATGCAGAATATTTTCAGTACAATCAAAATCATAATAGGTCTGGAAATGTCAATGTCAAATTATTCTTGGTCAAGGTGAATTTTAATGACCTATTACTGTTAATTTGTGCGTCGCGTGGGTACGAAAACTGTTAGGTATTTTGGTTAAAGATATTACAAATAAGATGCTCTGGGAAATTTTGAAGCCTGTTAAAGATTATCATCAGCAGTTTATTTATTTAAACACATAAATATTGGTACAAGGGGGCACCAGATATATATGCACCACACAAAACAATCAGAATGGGAAGAGAAAAGGGGTAAAGTGCATATAAGAAGAAAAAAGAAGGAGCAACAAGAACCACAGAGTGTATGTTATTGTAATAATAAGAGTATCAATGGGAAAAACAGAAATGTACAACCACAAGATCTCTTTCAGTTAAGGAAGTTATGACCACTCTTTATGAAGAAAATAAAAGGTTACAGCAGGCTCACCTCTGGCTTCCATTCTGAGCCATATCTGATAACATCTCTAGCCACTGTGCTGCACCATCTCTCCGACCCCAACCAAGGAGTCGTGAAGGACCAACAGAAGCTAGCCCTTTGCAGCTTTCTTTCATACCAGGACACTATGTCACACAATGACCACCTTTCCCCTTCTCCCAACCAGTCCTATAGTCAGCAAATAATGCACGACGTGGAATTCTCTGGGACAACATTCGTACAACTTTTCCAAGCCACCGAAGTCGATGTTTCAAGATGGTGACACCAATTGAATTATCGTCTCTGCGCCCGAACACACGATGCCGAACCTCTGCATTACTAACATGGTGTTGCTACTGGATGTCAGCAATACTTCGGAGACAACTATGATCGAACACAGTGAGTCGTCTAACATCCTCAACTCGGAGAGTCCAGGTTTCACAAGCATAGAGCAAAGCTGTTTTCACCGACGCATTGTAGATCCGACCTTTTCAGCCAGACTAACATCACGAAGGCGCCAAAGATGGCCCAGATTGGCATAAGCCGCTCTGGCTTTCATTATACGTGCATCAATCTCATCACTCACGCCACCACCAGCACTTATGTAGCTACCTAGATACACGAACTTCTCAACTACTTCAATCTGCTCACCACCCAGGATGAGTACAGGATTAGAATCATGTAAATCTTATAGAAGTACTCTGCATTTCGAAGGTGCAAAGCACATATCTTACCTGCGGACACTAAGTGCGGATTGCATGCCTTGGGCCGGAGGTAAGTCATCTGGGCCAGGTGATTTGTAACGTTTCAAGAGTTGGAGTTCCTTGCGGACTTCCGCCTCGTTTGGTGGATCAGTCGTCACCAGCCGTTGGGGGCAGGACAATCTGGTCGATGTTACCGGAGTAGCAGGCCAGTTTAACTGCTCTTCAAAGAATTCTGCCCATCGTCCAAGACGTCGATAGATATTAGTAATTGGCATCCCGTCATCTTCACAGATTGTTTCGCTCACATCAGACTTCTTGCTGCCAGTGGCTTGAATGAGTTGGAAGAGCTTCTAGCAGTCACCGGATGCAACTGCTGCTTCCAGCTCATTAGCACGCTCCGACAACTAGGATTCTCAGACCTTACGCAAATTTTGCCCAATTTCATTGCGTAACAGCCTTCGTTTGTGGTCAAATGAGTGAAATGACGATATCATCAGCAGTATAAAATTAATTTTAATTCGTCTAGTTATACTTCAACGGATCAGTATAATTAAGATTTGTTTAATAAAAGTTCGTCGATATTTTTGCTTTTAAACTTAGAGTGGTTCACTGAAACTGCAATTACATGCCATTCCCATATACTTTAAAATTTGATATTGACACAATTTAAACACAATGTTATATCCAATTGACAAAAATCTATGGATACAACAGTATTCTTATAAGAATTATTATTGAAGTGCTAAAACAAAGCAAACTAACGGAACCTAAAAGACCCATAAATGAACTGATATGAACATTCAGCGGTCAAATAAGCTTTATGCAGCCTCCGTGAAATAAACATAAATTAAAAACATTTGACAAAATAAGCAACACTAGGACCTAAAGACATTATAACTAATTGTAGCTTAATGATATTCGAAATTCTCTAAATGCTTAGTGAATTTAGCTCTCCGAGTATCGAAAAGATTTATGTTCAGCCGAATGCCTACTCAAACATTTGAACGCGACTTTGAAGCGTTCAGTGCCCGTCTGACTCCAGTATGATCAAACGATATCGACGCTAACGAAATGCACATCCTATTTGCTACATCCAGATTCTGTTGATAAATCACTTTGATACAGTCAGTCAGTCAGTCAGATACAACGTAGGACCAGGCACATATATGCATCGGTCCATATTGCCATACCTCGTTAGCACAACAAGATCAACACCGGATTCATAGTAGTTGATTTAGTGTTGGTAGTAGTATATAAATTATAGGTTGTATATAAGGATATAGTACAGGAAGGAAGAGATATGAAGCAATTTTAATCTCAAGGTTTAAGGGAAGATAAAGAGTGTATACACCTACGCCATTGTGATCGATTCTGAGCCATGTCACACAGAGTCTCCAACCATTGGTTACGATAGTCACGCGGACCCCAACCAGGTAGTCTGCATCTGCCAACATGGCTCAGGCTAGAAGTTAGTGACTTCAAACACTGATGCCATGTTTTGGTTTGGCCGCCCCTAACTCTCTTCCAACAATCCCCTACACTAGTCATCATAGCGCGTCGTGGTAATCGGTGTTCAGGCATACGTAACACATGGCCCAACCATCTCAGTCGATGAAGATTCATCACCTCATCAACTGATTTACCATCGTTCCCTAATACCCTGCGTCTAACCTCACTATTACTTACCCGGTGATCCCAGCAGATGCGAGCAATATTTCTAAGGCATCTGTAGTCAAATACTAGTAACCTACGAGTATCTTCTACTCTTAATGGCCATGTTTCACAGCCGTAAAGTAGAACAGAGCGAACTGATGCGCAGTATACTCGTCCCTTAATTGATAGACGGATATCTCGTCTTCGCCATAGGTCACGTAAGTTGGCAAAAGCCAAACGAGATTTTTGAATCCGTGCTGGGATTTCGTCAGACACCAACCCATTAGGGCTGATCAGACTTCCAAGATAAGTGAAGTTGTCGACGCGTTCGACTACTTCACTCCCTATCCTTAGTTCGGGTGTTGACGCAGGCCAGTCCTGGAGTAACAATTTACATTTGGATGGGGAGAAACGCATCCCAAACATCCTGGCATTATTACTCAGTTCCAACAGAAGACTCTGCATTTTGTCAGCGTCTTCACCAAACAGGACTATGTCATCTGCATATATGAAGTCGCTTAGTGGTCCCCCTGGTAGGAGATCAATTCCTATAAATTCAGTCGAAGAGAGTGTTATTTCCAGCAACAGGTCTATAATGAAGTTAAACAAAAATGGGGATAGTGGACAGTCTTGACGGACACCACTTAAGGTTGTAAAATCATATGACAGTTCGCCATAAGCTCTCACTCGACTAATAGTGTTCGAGTAAAGAGCCTTCACATGGTTTATGTACTTCTCAGGTACAGCTTTCAATGACAGACACTGCCACAGAACCTCTCGGTCTACAGAGTCAAATGCTGCTCTCAAGTCAAGAAAAACTATCATTGTCGGACGCCGATAAGCGTGTCCGTGTTCTAAAACTTGACGAATGGTGAATATGTGATCAATACAGCCACGACCAAGTATGAAGCCAGCCTGATTTTTTCGTGTTTGCAGTTCATGAGTCTTAGTTAGGCGCCCGATAATTATTGAGGCTAGTATTTTAGATGCTATGTTAGTCAGACTAATCCCTCTATGGTTATCACAGGATGATTTTGACCCCTTTTTATATATTGGGACAATCAGTGATTGTGACCAGTCGGATGGGATTACATCCGTCTCCCAGATTTTAACCGGAATATTAGTCAACCTAATCGCTAAAACTGGACCACCATATTTAAAGACCTCTGGAGCCAATCCATCAGGACCAGCTGCTCTTCCTCGTTTCAGATTACCTATAGCCTTTTGAACTTCAAGTAGGGTCGGGGGGCCTACTTCAATGTTCCATTCAGGTTTTCTAGGAATAGTGGGTAGTTGTGCAGTAGCTGAAGGCCAGCTAAACTGCTCCTTAAAGTGTTCCGCCCATCGTTCTAAACGTTTGGGTTGAGAGCAGATAAGGGTTCCGTCTTTTTCCGAGATTGTCTCACTTACACTTGACTTCTTAATTCCGGTTTCTTTTATTAGTCTGAATAGTTGCCTGGTGTTGCCTACAGCCGCTGCCTTTTCCATCTCTTTTGCTTTCGTTGCCCACCACTGCTAACGATCGTTCCTTAGACTTTACGCTCTTCGTCATGTTCAGAGCCTGATGGGATGAGTTTACGCGAATCCATCAGTGAAATAGACTTAGAAGAAATCCAGTTTTTTTGGAGCCCTATGGTTTAAATGACTAATAGATGTTACTGCTGTTTGCACAGTTGTTCGTATGTCTTTCCAAGCAGCATCTGTGTCAGTCTTGTTTACAGAACTGCCTAGCTGTG